AAGTCTTGTTCTAGGCATCCACATCCCAAAGAATAAGCATGGAATTTTAGAAAAATCTAATTTTTTTAAATTTTTGGGTTTTGTTTTTTTGGGGGTTTTTTTGGGTTTTTTTTAGGAAATAATATGTTTCCTGCATTAACTACTCCCCTGGACAGAAAGCTTCATTCCTAGCTGTTTCTTTATTTCATTTTCTTGCCCCTGATCCTCAGCTCAGAATCAGAATCATATATATCAGAATCATATATCAGAATCTTTTTTACAGAAGACAATAGAGATGTATCTGCTTATGTGAGCTAAAAACCTGGCCCAAACCTCAGTCTATATCACAAACAACATTCAAAGAGATTCTTGGCAAACGAAGAAGGGAAAATAAAAGTCTTTTTGTACTGTGAAATTTCCCAGGAATAAAACAAACACACAGTCAAAACTATTCAAATGGCATTTCAGGAGATCAGTCACAGAATCCAGTAATGCATTTCTTTTTAACAAATGGAGTTTGCAAATTTTCTCTGGGTTTACAGGCTAACCTGTTCCATTGCCATCATGGGCAAACCTGCTTCGTGCTGTAAGAGCCAGCTCAGTGTTCACAGAGTCCCTGGGAGGAAAGGGACAAAATTCCTCCCAACACAACGGGGGTTAATTAGAATAATGACTTAAATAAGAATCTTACCAAGTTGTATCAGCTCTTGAAGGCATGTTACATGCATATGCAAGTAAGTCAGGCATATACCCACCAAAAATGATTTTTCAGAACATAAGATCAGAATCAAGTGTAGGGTCTCACAACCTTACTGTAATAAAGCAGTGCCATTCCCTGGGGAAAGCAGTCCTGAAATCAATGTGACTCAGTAAATTCCTGTACAGCACAGCCAGTCCACAGCATTTATAGCTAAATCTGGTAGCTACAAGCTTGGGCCTGATTCCCCACTGCATGGTGTGAGCAGTAAATTATAATTATTCCCACTTTTAAGGTCCTTGCCTAAAGAGTTTTACTCCTATAAACGCAAAACCTGCCCCCCATCTTCTTGTATTGCTGGACCAGAAAATGTCCCTGCAATTGTGACTCTATTTAGTGGCCCCATTACATCCACCTCAATATCAGCTTTATTCTGGTGTGCACTTGGATCATTTACAGGCAGTGAGTAAAGACCAGTGATGCAGCTGAGACCCTCCAAAGAGGTTGGAAAATTGACTTTAGCTGGTTCCCCAGGATTATGGATATTTGCAAAGCCCTCTGGAGCAGAGACTGAGGGGAGGCAGAGGGGCAGGGGCTGAGCTCTGCTCTGGGACAGCTCCTGGAGCCCAGCAAGGGCTGGAGCTGTGCCAGGGCTGGGCATGGAGCTCAGGGAAAGGTTCTTCCCCCCGAGGGTGCTGGCACTGCCCAGGCTCCCCAGGGAATGGTCCCGGCCCTGTCAGAGCTCCCAGGGATGCTCAGGGTGGGGTTTTGGGGTCTGTGCAGGGTCAGGAGCTGCACTGATGATCCCCGAGGGTCCTTCCCAGCTCAGGACATTCCAGGATTCCATTCTGACTGCAAGTGGTGCGGTCCTTCAGAGAGCTGGGACTGGGCTGAGACCCAGCTGCTTCTCATTAAAGCTCCCTCAGCTTCACTGGCATGGATGGAATGAGCCTGTGGTACAAAGCAAACAGTTAGAGAGGCTGTGCTAATGAGTGAACTGCTGTTTGTGCCTCAACAACACCACTGGCAGGTGCCTCCTGGCTGTGGGGATTTATTCCAGGTGATGCTGTGAAGGACAGAACCAAGGCAGCACAGACATTGCATCCCACACAGGGCCTGCAGCAGCGAGAAAGATCTCACAAATTAGGCAGAGCTCACCTGCAGCAATCACAGAATCACAGAATGGTTTGGGTTTGAAGGGACCTTAAAGAGCATTCAGTGCCCAGCACCTGCCATGGGCAGGAATGCCACTGACCAGAGCAGCTGCTCACACCCGTCCAACCTGGCCTGGAACACAGGCTTGGGAATAAGCCTAAGCCAAATAAGCCATAATAATCACAGGTGTGTCTTTAGAGAGCCTTTAATAGCTTTATAAAATCAGGAAAGTATGTATTTTATCAATTTACAGAAGGGCAAGCAAGGACTCTGAGAGGGAGTGGCTGGCACATTCAGACCCACACGAGCTCTGTTGCTAATGGGGCAGCAAAGGGTGATCAGGCACATTATTGGAAATGCAGGTGTCTGACTCCAGTTCAGAAGGCTGAATGATTTCTTTATTATAATTATATTATAATACATTAATATGCTATTTAAAGGAGATACTAAAACTACAAACCTACTTTTTCTAACTCCCATATCTAACTCACTCACAACACGTGACCCTCTCTGAGAGTCCAGCCCCAGATGGGTTGGATTGGCCATCAGGCTCAATCCTCACCAGAATCCAACCAAGCAACACCCCAGGTAAACAATTCTCCAAACACATTCTACATGGGAAAAACAAGGAGCAGAAATAGAAATTATTTTCTCTTTCATTTCTCTCTGTGCGCCTCTATGAAAAAATCCTGAGAGAGAGGAGAATGTGCCCGCCACAGAACATCTCAGGTTGAACATCTACACATCACAGCAACCACAGACAGGGGCTGCTTGTGAAAACCCTGCCCAGTTAATATCCTGAGGATCACACAGAAAATCAGTGACAGAGAAACAGAAAAACAACGACTGCTGACCACAGAGCTCCCCCAGCTCTTCTCCCCATGAGGCTGATTTCAGGTCAGGCTCTGTGGTGCTCTAGCAGGCCCTAGCCAGTCCCTTTTTTCAGGCAAAGTCACCCGGTTTTCAGAAAACTCTTTACCTTTGATACACTCTCCATAAATGTTATTACCATGTTTGCCTCAAGATTTCTCTTTGAATACTGTCTTTGCCCCTCCCTGAATCCCATTGGCTTAGGGCTTTCATTTGTTTGTCTTCTTCTCCTCCTCTTGTTTTAATTAAGATGCATTTTACTAATTATCTGAAGAGAAACATGAGCACAGATTAACAACTGGGTTAAGTAAGAAGCTGGGGCACACGAGAATCAAGGCAAGGGCTGACGTGGCTGTGCTCTTGCTCAGATATTGTGTTTTTTCCAGTGACTTTCACTCAGGGAGTCAAATTTGTTGCTCAGGCATTAATTAACCCTCTTGCTTTCCCATAAAAAGAAGCCACAGGTTCCCATGTTCCCCTTGCCAGTGGAAGCAGAGTGTGACACAATTCCCTAATAAATTCATTAGATTGCCTGTTAGATCCATCAGGGAGGGGTTTGGCTCCATTCTGACCATCTGCCTGGAGACAGAAAGAGTGAAAGAATGACAATATTTTGCTGATCTACTGAAGGGTGAATCCTGTGCATCCTGGGAAGCTGCTGGAGAGAGGGCAATGAATTTGCCTTTGGGATTTCCCTCCTTTGGGGAAATCAAAATGGTTTTGTCAAGATCTGTCCCCCCATGAGCTCAATCCTGCTGCTCTAAAGTGTGAGCACAGAGGAGCAGGAGCAAGTTTAAGTGACTCTGAACCCAAGCTCAGTACTTCCTATTCATCATTAAGATTCTGCAAATGCTAGTGAGAGCAAGGCTTATTTGTTGATGCCTGTTTGCAGGGGTTTATTTGTTTGAAAAGGCTAATCAGCCAACTGCTTAAATATAAAGGAAAAGGGAGAAAATATTCCAAGCTATTCAGATGAGGTGCCATGGTTTGAGTTTTGATGTCGGTGTGCAGCCAACTGACAAATGCTGAGCCACAGTCTGGTATAAATCCAGATGAATTCCACTAGAATCAACAGACTTCCTTCTAATTTATTCTGATGTAACAGAGAGCATGATATTTCCATTCAGATTTACATTAGATTTGTTTCCTGTTTTCCATAATTCAGTCAGTTTCCATTGTGTACAAAAGCAGCCTGGGCCAGATCTTGATCTTATTTGCATCAGATGAAAACAGTTGTTTCAAATGGAGCTCCACTGAATTTATAATTGCATAAATAAGAGCAGAATCTGATCTATTCCAAGAGAGAATTTCCCAGGGCGTTGCTGTGTGAGAACACTCCTGCTGTGGTGATCAGGTGCTTTGCCATTGATTTCAATGGAGAAATTTCATCTAAATCCTGGAGTGAAGCCCTGAGCTTGAGCTGCTTTGCACACCCAAGGTGTAGAAGCTCCTCTTTCCTCCAGAAGATCAGCCAATATGCCAACACCTCCATCACCACCTCATGACCTGACTCACAAACACCGTGGATGGCCTGGGGAAAGCATCAGGATGGAAAGAGCTCAGCCTTGCTTGGCAGAAATCCTCCTCCAAAGATAGATTTCATTTGTTACACACGTTCTTTATAACCCAAGTGCTCCATGTTGACTTTGCTTCCCACTGAGTTTCCTCCCTTGAGGCCCTTCTGAGTCCCCTTGTTCCATTGTAATTGGAATTTTAGGAGCAGTGCAGTTATTCCCTGGCAGAGCTGCCTGTTTCAGCAGCCACACTACCACTAATAGATTGGGTTATTAGTAATAACCAATATTCCCAGCACCATGTCTAATCAAGTGGATTTACTCCTCCCCATTGAAGCTGCTTATTCCACTGCTAGCAGGAAAATAAGGCCATTTCAAGTCATTTATGGTGGTTGCAAAGGCCTTTTCTGAGCAGATACACAAGTTATGTTGCCATAGCTTCTAGGACTGTGAACTCAGCTCATCCATCCAGCTCACTCTTGTTCCCTGCTGTCCCCTGGAAGGCAGCAACTCCATGAGATATGGACAGGCACTGCTCCCACTGTGGGTCTCACAAGCTCAGGTAACCCTTACAGCACTGACCTCCAGCTCTAACACTTTATGAACACAGATATTCCACCTCACTTCTCTAGGATGAGAAAACTTCATTCAGCTTCATTCTTTGTTACCCATGGCCTGGAGAAATGCAAAGCAGATCTGCAGTAAAAGCAGCTGTATCAACAAAATATCACTTTTCATGGCTATGACTTGCCATTTGAAATGAAAACACAGTTCTTCCATTCGACTTTTCAGGCTCCTGTGTGTTTAATTCCACAGTAAAGTTAGATTCCTTTACAAATCTAAATATTTCTCTTCATTTACAATATTTAGCACATGGAAAACAGTGAGAAGAACAACTGCAATGCCACCGGTGACAGCATCACAATTACAGGGCCATAAGGATTAGGAGCACATGATGTGGCAGACTGAAATTTCAGCATCTCTGTGCTTCTCTCTCATCCCAGCCCCTGTGCAGAGACTGGCAATTACCCCATGGGTATGGCCTGTAGTATATAAAACAGAGCCTCGAAAAAACAAGGCAATCATCAAATTTCCAGTGTGGGTGGAATGTGTCTGTTAGGTTTGCACACACACTATCAGGACTGCCAGTGCCTAAAGGCAGCCTTACATCGAGCTGGTGCCTGTAAAACACAAAGGCACAACAGATTCTCTCCCCCTGATCCTTCACGGAGCAGGAGCAGAAGTCATCACACCATAACAAAGGCTGACATAACTACTTACTGGGGATTTTGTTCCCCACAGCTTTTATTCCACTCTGTGATTTGCATTACAACTGGAACCTAATTGTCCATTTTAGCAGGCAAAGAGCAATCTGGTACAGATTATAACATGTGAGGAGAAGCAGTGGTGTCACAAAATAGGTACACCAGGCAAAGGCAGCCTTTGACACCAGCTGATTAAACAACAATTCCACTGCTGCAATTAACAGCAGCCCAAAAAACAAATCCAGTACAGAGAGAGGAAGTCTGCTTAAACAAAAAGTGCCAGAAATCCTTTCACTGGAGCTTCCTGACAGCCCTTAGGCAGTGCTTGACAGCAGCACTGTGCTGTCCTTGGAGAAGGGACACCTGGAAGTTATCACAGCAGCCAGGTAATCACTGCTATAGGCTTTATGTATTACAGAAGGTTGAGTAATGTATTTTAACTAAGAAACACATTGCTCTTTTATAGACTAGTTTGCTACAGATTGACTTAATTGTTTTTTTACTTAAAACACTATTACTATTGGTTAATTTAAAAAGTGCTTTTTGGTGAACAAATCTTCATAACACATTTTGCATGTTTCCAGCACTAGGTGTAGCAAGTTGAGATAAGAATTGTTTCTCATTCTTTTCTCTGATCTTCTCACAGACTTTTCCCAGATGGATGCCTGGGAAAGTTGTGTTTCTCTCTGCTGGCACAGAAGTGACACACTCAGGGGCTGAGGGGGAGAAAGGAGCCCCTGCCAGGCTCTGCTGGTCCCACTGGGAGCCCTGGGAGGTGAAATGGCCCCAGCAGTGTGTCTGACACAGCACAGCCCAGCAAAAAGTGTTTTCAGGCCCTGAAAAGCAAACCTGGGGCTGAGACCCTTGAAGGAGAGCCCTTCCAGGAGGGAATGTCACCCAGGCTGAGCGGGGACAATGGGACAGAGCTGCCCTGCAAGCAGCTCTGAAATGAGCAGCAGCTCATGGGCTGGAGAGTGTCTGCAAGGGTTCTGGGGAGGGAAATCCACATTGAAGCGGCCTCAAAGGAAAGTGCCAGCCTGCTTGAGAGCCTGGGAGTTCAGGCACTGTGTTGAATTCTCCAGGATGTGGAAAACCCGTGGTACTCCCAGAGCTCTAGTGCAGACTCCTTGATTAGTAGGCAGGGCAGGGAATTAAATGAGGCGGGTGAATTAAAGCCAGACTTCACAAGCTGCATCTGTTCCTCCATCCCCTCTGGAGACAACACTGATGGAGCTTTAAAAAGTGAATTTAGCAAGGAAAGCTGCCAGGGTGATGGCCCTGCAAACTGAAACATTTGATGCATGCATGTCTCAGGTACAGGAGAAGCACAGAGGAGCCACTGGAACGTGCCCCAGCCTGAGCTGCCTGAGTGGAGCACAGCTCCTGCTGGAGGTGACCTGCCTGGGCTTGTCTTCTGCTCCTGAAGCTCAGGAGGAGCTGCTGCAAAGGCCTGGCTGCAGCTCCAAGGAGGAGGCAAACAGGAATGCTTTGGATAATCCTGTGTGTGATGCTCCAGCAGTAGCAGGATCCCAAAGATAAACAGTCCCAAGAAGCAGCAGTCCCATCCACAGAGCAGCAGGGTGGAGTTTCAAACTTCTCCATCTTGCAGGACACTCAGGACCTACCACACCTTCCAGTGCTGCTCCTTGGTCTTGGCCACACCTGTGCTCACAGACAGGGAAACATCCATTTCACAGTAGTTCTTACTGTCAGCATCTTTTCTGGAATCCAGGCAGCTCCCCACACCACCACGGTTAATTTAGTCATCACAGGTATCCCCCTGAGCTGCAAAAAGCCTTCCAGAGCTGACCAGAGCTGCCAGCTGCAGGCAGGAGGTGTTAGAGTAGATTCTGGACCTAATCCAGCTCAGGTCAGTCTGCCTTTTGCAGAAAGGCAAAACTCCAAAGAGCCTGGCTGGTTTTGAAGGACCTAGGAAAGCAAGGAGAGACAGGACATCTGAATAAAAGACTTATTTTTCCCCTAGGTGTGTCCAGAAGAGGATTGGAAGCATCCCTCTGCCCATCTGGTGATGCAGCATTCTTGGCCAGACTCAGGTAAACCCCCAGTGTCTAAATTCCACTATAAGAAGTGGCTTCCACCTGTTCTGACAGCAGCTGAGAGGTGTGATCCCACCACTCAGCAAACAGAAGGATACCTGCAACCAGGAGTAAGAGGCTGCATGGGAAAATAGAAGAGGCAGTGTAAAACCACAGAGTAAGAAGAGATAATCCCTCTGTCTTCCCAGCACTGGGACTGGAAATGTTGGGGAGCAGCTGGAGCTGTGTCAGGGGGGTTTAATTGGATGCTGGGGAATGTTCTTCCCCCTGAGGGTGCTGGCACTGCCCAGGCTCCCCAGGGAGCTCTCATGGATGCTCAGGGTGGGGTTTTTGGGCTGTCTGTGCAGGGCTGATGATCCCAGTGGGTCCCTCCCAGCTCAGGGTATTTCATGATTCATCACTAAAGAGTTGCACAGTTCTATTAGCAAAGCATTAAACAAATCCCTTGCAGGGAAAAACAACACAATAAACAAGCAAGCAAAGAAAAAAACCAGTCAGTTCTTGTTCCTCAGAGCACAGCCCCTGTTCTCAAGTGCTTGGCATTAGATTGTGGCATAGAGGAAAAACAAAGCAGAAATACCTCAAATGGATCCAGTTATTTTACCTCTTTTTCTGCTGCTCCTGTGGCTCTTTCTAGGTGGTTTGTGGTTTTTTTCCTACTCTTTGCCATGTGATGAGATGCATCATTTGAAGGACAGCAACCAAACCAGCTCTTCCTGCTCTGAAGAAAGGCAGCAGCTGCACTTAGAATAAAAGATTGTCAGGCAGATTTGAAGTGTCAATCAAAGCCTATCTCTGAAAAAAACATTAGTCCAGGCAGCTCCCCACACCACCACGGTTAATTTAGTCTTTCCAGATATCCCCCTGAGCTGCAAAAAGCCTTCTAGAGCTGACCAGAGCTGCCAGCTACAGGCAGGAGGTGTTAGAGTAGATACTGGACCTAATTCAGCTCAGGTCAGTCTGCCTTTTGCAGAGCAAAAGACTGTGATTATCAAGCCCAGGGAAGCAAATCCTGTCTCTCAGGCTTTGTGAAGCAAACTGTACCTTTTACTAAATGAGTGGGCATGGATTTAGAACTCAGTGTGTCCCATCTCCAGTGGCACACATCCACTTTAATATCATTATTCTAATTTTAATTATTATTTATGACTACACCCAGGCACCAAGTGTGTGAGGCACTTTCCAAGCACTCAGGAAAGTACTGGCTCTGCTCCAAGAAATTCATTATTTCAGGACAGACGCGCAGAGGCACTGCGTGGAGTGGCAGAACTGCTGACCCAACAGCACCAGGACCTGCCCTGTTGGTTGACCTTGGAAAATTCACATTCCTTCTTGCCACACATAGTCCCACCCCACTCTTTGTCCATCCCAGTTGCTTGAAAGATGTTCAGCTGTGACCTTGTTCAGGTTTTTGTCTCAGAATCTCTTTCTGTGCAATGTCCAAGCATGTTCCTGGGGGGAATGTTTTTGTTCTTTGGGAAAAAGAAAATGAAAAATTCTATTTTCCATGACATTTTTTCAGATGCTTGTGTCAGGAAAAAAAAAATAATCAAATGTTTTCTCATGGCCAAAAAAACCCAGAAAATTCAGATTTATGGTGTTTGGTAAGAGCTGCCAGTCACTGGAATTTTCTGAGGAAAATACTGTAGAGATTAGTGAAACATCCATTTTGTTTTCCTGAAAATAAGTTTGAACCAAAAAATCAAGTTGTTTTGTGAGTAAGGAACTGGTGAAACCCATTCTTCCTCTGATTTGTATTACAACTGCTTTTTATTTCTTCCTTTCCTGGTGTTCCCAGCTTACTGCAATACCCTCAGGGCACCTGATGCCCCCCAGACCTTCCCAGCAAAATCCCTGACTGCTCCAGCAGCTTTTTGCTTTGCAGGGAAGGGGCAGCAAGTGCAGGGGCTGGTTTGAAGCTGGGCAGGAACTGATTGCCCAGTCCTATCTAAATGCCAGCTGGTCACCTGGCTGCTGCATCCCAAAATAGGCAGGGAGCAAGAGGTGTAATTACCTTTCCTTCAATAGAATATTAACTTAAATGTCTCTCTTCTACCCAGCTGCTGTTTGTTCATGAAAATTGCAGGAATGCTGGGTCTGTGAGACCTCTCTTTTTCCATCAGATTGGGTTGAATCAGGTCAGCTGGTTCAGAAGTTATTGGAGCAGGGGAAAGTGAGGGACCAGCTGCAGAGAGAAGAACACAAGGAGGCTCATTGCTGTATAAACCCTGGCTCCAAAATGAGATCTGGGTCCCTGAGACCTGGTGAGGTGGTGGCTGTACCAGAGGCCAACCAGTTCCTGTCCTTTGCACACAGAGAGGCTGCCAAGCTCCAGGACTGTCTCTGGGGCACTGATCACTTTTTGCTGCACAAAGCCTGCAACCTGGAAATGGGGCTGCACTGTACAGAAAGAATTCTGGAGCCCAGACAGTCCGTGACCTGAGTCATTTACACCTGGATGCACAGGCTGAAAGGGAAAAATAATTATCTCACACTTAAATGTAGGAAAATAAAAGCCAAGACCAGCAACTTACTGCAGAATCCTGAGAAGGAGTCACAAGAGGCTCAGATATCCCATCTCCCCATCTAGGGCCCTCCTCAGCTCCTTGTTGCTGCTCTGCCCAGGCAGAAATTCCCATTCCTGGGCATTTCAGGGATTCATTGCTCTCAGGAGCTGAGTCAGTCTCACCACACTCCTCTGTTGGCAGCTGGGTCCACATGGCATGCTGATGAGGAAACACTGTTTGTTGTTTTGTTTGGGTTAATTATTCATGGGCACCATGCTGGAAATGCTTGGAGCTGCTTTCTGAACTGTCCTTGAGCTGCTGTGCAGGGAGGGACTTACCAACACTGGTGGCCAGGCTGCCTTTCCATGGGCAAGCTCTCTTCCATCTGCTTCCCTTCAGCCCTTGTCACACTCCCCGTCCCTCATGGCTTTGGCTGTGCTCTTTGGCATTATCTAAATGAAAAAAAAAAAAAAAAAAGAGGCAAATACTTGGAGCACTACAGAGATGCAATCAAAAATGGCATTTGACCAAGCAGGCGCTGACCCTGACATGTGGAGAATGCAAAACTCATCCTCTGGCTGGTTTTGTTCTTCAACCCCACTATGTAACTCAGAATAAGCCACTTGCAGTGTTTCAAACCTGTTTATCCTCCAAGAGAAGATGCCTTCACCCTCCTTCAGATAATCCACAACTGTCTGGAAGCTTTTTTCTCATAAGCAAGGCTCTTCCTCTTTAGTGCCTGCTCCTGGAAATCCATTTTTCATCTTAGAACAAGGGCAGTCTGTAGCTTTAGGAGCACTTTGAGAATGTTTGCAGTAAGACAGAGCTTGAGCTGCTCTCAACACATTCATCCTCAGGCATTAGCACTAAATGGTGACTTTCTGGGGTTGTGGGTCTATCAACATCTTCTGACAGGGGTCCAGACTCTCTGTAGAAGGCTGAAACTTAGCAAAGTAGAATTATTTTCTAAGTTACCCTTCTGAAACCCTTTAGAAATCACCCAGTGCTATCCCCTGGGGTCTCCAGAACAGAGCCTGAAACTCTTCCAAGTTTGTAGGGCTATGTCTTTGGGGCTGGGATTTGCTAGGAGAGCTCACTGCAACTAAGAGCAGGGCTGAGTCTTTTGACTCCTGTGAATTACTGTTTGCAATTATGTTTTCATTTTATGACAAGAAACTGAGCCTGTGCTGCAAATATTTCATCAGATCTTAGAGAATTTCAAAGTCTGTGGGGTGGGAGTTTTTGCTATGTTCTAGCAAAGGATCAGTCTAGTGAGGCTGATATCAGTCGCTGGTTGGGTTTTCTGTAAAACCCAGAACATGATTCATATTTCAGCACTTTCTTCTTCACTTGAAATTTCAGGGGATTTTGCTAGCCAAGGGTTTGCTGGGAGCCCACCCTGTAGCACATCTGCCCTATAAAACACCATGACACAGGAGGGGGGATTTATCCCAGCTGGGCAAAATCCTCACCTGATATAAATCGGCACAACTACAGAGAAGTCCAGTAAGCTGGGCCACATCACAGCAGAAAGAAGTCTACATTAGGATGCAATTTCCCATTTCCCATTCATTAATTCTTTGCCTAGAACCAAGACAGACCCCTGGGGGACACATTAGCTCAGTTTCATCTGCTGCAACCCCATGCAACTGCACAGGGAGGAACTCAAATCCTGTGGAGCACATTCCCTATCGATGTTTTGACAAAAACTCCCTGTGGTTTTTTTTGTCAAACGATCTTCTTGGGCTGAGCAATAAGTAAATGAGCTAAATACAGGTGTGACTGTCTGACCTGCGTGCCTGTGAGGTGTCAGCAGAGGTAACTGCACTAATGCTTTCAGAACTTAAAAATCGCTTAACTGAGGACACCAGAAGGGAGCTTGGCCCGTGAATAATACACATAAATACCACCTTCAGCTACTGAGATGTAGTCAGCCCCCCCATCTGGCTGTTGCCTCAGTAACACATCTCCAGGAGGATATTTTTAAGCCAGTATTATTTATCTGGTAGGTGGAAGCAGACCTGTTAAGGCCATGCCAGGTCAGCATATGTCTAAGCATGTAGTGAAGAACTTAATTAGCTCTCCCTGAGAAGAGAGACTCCCAGGGCTATTTAAAAGCTCGTTATCCCTCTGTGAGGTGCCTCAGAGCCTGCTGCCAGGCCTCAGCTTAACAGGGCAAGGCTGGAAAAGTTGGATGGGGGTGAAAAGTCTCCCCTCCATGCTGAGGAGTAATTGCTGAGCAGCTGTAGGAACAGGAGGGTCAGTGCAAAGAGCAGCATCACAAAACCACACTGAAACTCAGAGTAAAGAACTTACTTCGAGGTGTGACTGTGTAGATGCTATTAGGGTTTTTTTCTTGTTGTTGTTACTAGAGGTCTAACATCACCTGCTGTGAAAAATGCATATTATATGGCTCTACGCAGATAGTTACTATATGTATTATGTTATATTGATTAGTTGTGCTTTTGTAGTTAAAATGAAGACTTTAGTAGTTTAAAAAAAAAATAGAGACTCTGTATGTGGGGGGGAAGTTTTGGGTTTTTTTTAGGATGAGATACTCGCTTCAAGGAACACCTAAATCTTCCAAAGGAGAGGAATTTATGGCTTCTTATCAGAAGAAGCTAATTTCTTCAGGCCTTGCTCAGACTCAAAGACTCCATGGGGATTAAAGGAAACAGTTCCCATACAACAGACAGAGTTTCTTGTTTAGAACAGAATGTATGCATAACCATGAAGGATTTATGAATATGCAACAAGTGTATTGTTTTAAGGTTATTCCTTTGTTCACAAGGGATGCTTTTTGTGACTTAGTGTCCGAGAGCATCCGGACCTCTGTAATTCTTTGCTTTTTATTGTCTTGTAATTGTCCTAACTCTAAACTTTATTACTCTAATTGTATTATTATTTTTATAACCATTTTATTATTATTAAACTTTTAAATTTTTTTAAAAACCAAGTGATCAGCATTTTTCACACCTGCGTGCCAGGCAATGCCAGTGACAGTGAGCAGGGCTGATGGGGCAGCGATGTAGGTGTGGAGTGAGTGCCTGTCATTGGTCCTTAAGTCACCACAAACCCAGGCAGGAGTTCAGCATCAGCCAAACTGGACCTTGTGCAAGTGGCTCACTCATAGTTTTCCTCTGCAGTTCCGAAAAAATCAGACATTTGAATGCCAAGAAGGGAATGCCATGGGCGCCCCAGGGATGGATGGGTTTGTTATTCTGACAGGAGGTAAAATATCCATCCCTGAGCAGATGGACCTTTGGAGAACTAGGCTGAGCAGCCTCTGAAGAATAAAACAGGTTCCCAAGCATGTCAAAGCTGCTGTAAGGACTGGCACTGACAGTGGACACTGAGGCTGGATTGCAGGAGGGGGAGGAACCTGGACATGCTTATTTTGACCCAAGAGTGGCTACAATATACAACGTGGGACCTTGGCCTGCTCTTGGAGCTGTCAGGAGCTTTTCCTAGATGAGTTGTTATGGTAACTGAGCTAATGCCCTGAGATAGATGCTTTCAGATGGCTCCAGGCCAGAAAATCAACACCAATAGATTCCAGATAATAGACTTCTGCTGAACTCAGTGCCGGCATCTACTTCATTTAACCTATTCACCAATGACCTCCTGAACTCCATTCTCCAGGCAAGCCACATGTGATGAGAAAAGCTGCCTGGCCTCAATGAACCACAGCTTCCAAAAGGCTGAGGGGACCCATGTCCTGTGGCTGTAAATCAAATGTGCCTGGGACGTTCTCCTGGGACATTTAGAGGACAGCTGGCCACACAATGGCCAAGGTGTTCCTACTAAATTCTTACTCTCTAAACCTGTGTGGATACATCCAAGCATCACATAAGGAACAGTCCCTGGCCCGTGCTGGCTCCTGAAATGCACCTGAGCCAAAAATTGCAGTGCAATGCTCCATCATTGTAACAGAGAGAAGTCCAGGCACTGCTTAATTTGTCAGCACAGACCTTGCCTGGTTGGCTGCTGGAGGAGACTGCAGGAGAGGAGCCTGGAACCAAGAGCAAAGGTTCTGTCACTGTGCTTGTGCTCACACCACACACAGATCCAGCTGGAGCTGGGCAGCCACACTGGGCATGTCTAGGGATCACTCTGGATCAGCCACTGACACCCCCTGTTTGAAACAGCTCATGGGTTAAGTAGAGTAAAAATGTGGGTGTTGAGTTCATGGGATGCTGCAGTACAGATGGGATTCACCAGCTCAAGGCAACATTCCTCCCACTGAACATGAAAACATGGACAATAAACAATCAGCAAGGAGCAGCTAATTCCATGTGCCACTACCCAGCCCTGCTGCTCACTGCCCCATTGTCACCATAAGGGTCAGGAATGGGTAATAAGTGACACAGGCTCTAGGCCAGAAGGCTAAGAGGCTAGAAGCCCCAATTTTACCGAAACCACTTCTTTTTTACCCTGGTCTGATTCAGGTGGACCTGACTGGTCATTTAATCAATACATTCCACATGATGGCTAATTAACATGACACCTATTTGTAAACAACCTTATGGGCAAAACAGCTTATTACCAAACACCAGGTGTAGATTGGTAAGAATTCTTGCTCTCCAGCTCCCTAAAGTCTCCCAGGCTGATTCATGGGAAAACTTATCTCGCTTTCCCTCTCTCTCTGACCAGACTACTGCATCCACATCCCAGGGGTGGTGTCCTAGGTTATAATATTGGGGTGTATTCCATTACCACCTCGAGCTGAAATTCTTTCTTTTTTCCTTATCTCGTGACTCAGAGATAAGTCCCTCCAGGAAGACCTATTCTTTTAGCCACATGACTAATAACACCACAGCATTCTGTTATGAGATGCTCCGCCCAGAGGGAGGAGCCAAATGATACCATCAAGGATATAAGCGGGTGTCGGAATCTGAGGGTATTGATGATCCCAAGATTGTAGAAAGTCTCTGTCTGTCAGCCCCGCTGCCAAAGCAGAAGCCATAATTCGTCTGTGCTGGTTTCAAGGCTGTTTATTCTGTTTATCTCTAACATGTTCTGCTGCCCTGCCGCAGCTCTGTCCTGCAGGGCAGCGTGTGGGGCTCTGCCCTCAGTGGGATGGTACAAACATTAAATACCACAAACTCCCTGTGCTGGATTTACAATAACGTGCCAATATCTGTCACCTACGTTGGACAGTGTGTCCCCAGCCTGAACCAACAGAAAAATGCCAACACCACAGTGAAACATGGAGGGCATGAAGAAGGAGAAAAAGGACAAGACACACCCAATTTCCTCCATCTTGTCCCCTTTGGACCCCTTATCTAGAATCCTAAAATTTTACTTTTGCACCCGTGTCACACTTAATTATTATTCATATCAAACACTCAGAGTTTGTAATTCATCCTGTAAGATTGAAAACTCTTTTCCATGGACAGAGATCACAGACAGTGTCTCTGGGGGCTCTGTCCAGGGGGGTTCCTGACCCCTGCCAGGGCAGCCAGAGGGAAGCCCTGGATTCCCACAAGCGGGGTTGTGCAGGCAGCAAGGAGATCCCCTCTTCCAAGAGGAACAGCTGAGACCTTCTCTACACTGGACCTCCAGAGGGAAACTACATCAGTCTACAGGAGCACTGCTTGGACAGAGCCATATCTGCTACCACCGCCCTAGCCAGCAAGTGTCAGGCTGTATCTCTAACTCTGTCAGTGGTTCTTCTTTTGTGCTATTGTATGTATTTGGTTCTTTGTTCCCTTTTCCTAATAAACTGTATTTCTGATTTAAAGCCTCTCACTGGTTTTGCTTTTCAAACCAAGCTAGGTGGCCCTGTTCACAGGTGCTCCATTGCAGCCAGCAAGGAGCTCCCAGCAGACAAAATTTGGGAAGAGTGGTGCCACTTTCAGAACTCCCACGTCACCACCAGACCAGCTGAGCAGCTCCCTGGCTCTGCGGCCCTGCGCCGCCTCCAGAGCGAGCCAAACGGGTTCTGCCGTGGTGTGGTCCATGGTGCCAGCTCTGATCATGCCTTGGGCATTTGGGACAGCCTCTTGCATGCCCATGGATGCTTTTACATCCATGCTGGGTGGCTGTTCTGCTCATGCCAAGACCCACTGCTGGTCTCCTGTTAGGCACTGATGGCTTCAACACCACATGCTGGCCCCTGGCCACTGAGCTGGGGCATTTCTCTGCTTGTTCATTCCCATTTCAACTGTTGCTTTGCTTGTTTTTCCCACTGGCAAACCATGTTATTGTAATATGTCACTCTCCAGGATAGAAACTGTTATTCAGAGAGTTCTTTGCTCTGCCTCTACTGCAAGAGGATTGCAATTTCAGTCAGCACAGCAGTAATGTGATTAACAGGCTCTGCACAAAGGGGAATTGCATCCTAGGTGGATGTGATATTTGCAGTTCTGGCCAGCCCATGTGTTTTCCCAGGGTGAGAGGTCATGTTGACTGATCTCCAAAACGGCTCGCTCGAACTTTTAGACATGAAGGTCTAAATAAATGTTCAGCATTAGCTGGTATGCTGATCCCTTTCCTGCCAAGCTGCCGCCTTAAGTGCATTTTTATGACTAAGTTACAAACCCCAGAAAGTACGAGCAAGAAGTGGAAATGCTGACTTGGCCTTTGCTAAATGCCAATTATCTACAAAGGCATTAGGCAGGGAGGGGAGGATGAAAAGTAGGGTCATTTTCATGTTTTCTCTGGTTCAAAGCAAACTGTCCCGTGAGCCCATTGTAGGAACACACAGCATGCAGAGTGACCATTAATATTTATAGGCACGACACTGAGCTGCAGACCTTGGCAATCACAGCAACTCCACTTCTGGAATTAATAGAGCTCTGTTTGGCTGCCACCTCGGTACACAAGAGTAAGCAGGAGACATCAAGATTTTCAGGGAGAACTGAAGAAGTAGATGGGGAGGGATCCATACTTCACCAAGTTGGTGAAACACTAAAACCAACCCTTCAATCCTCAGGACTGCTGGCCAAATGCAGCAGAATTTTCACTGTCCTCTCTGCTCCTGTGGCTCCAACAGTGCATGGGCTACTCCAGTTATAGTCCCCATGGTTATTCACTGTTGCCAGCTGATATAGACCAGTGTATTTCCAAAGACACTACTGGTGCAACGTGGATTTATAATACCTAAAGATCTGCCTGAGTGATCTTAAAACTCAAATTGGTACTGTAATCTCAGTTACAATGCAGCCTTTTCCCACTCTGTACGCAGTGGCAGTGAGAGACAGGCATGTAAAATCCTCCAAAACCTCTCTGTGCTGAAGACCTGGCAAGGTGCTGAGTCACAGCCTGCCTTCAGCCCAGGACTGCCTGGCCACACATCTCAGCAATATCCAAGGGAACTATCCTACCATAGCTCAGTCATCCCATGAACCTTTAGAGAAACGTGTCCCCAGTATCTGGGCATTTACAAAAATGCCTTTGGGAGTGGGTGAGGTTGGCACAACCCAATAATCCTTTATGTCAAAAAAAGGAGACATGACTACAGGTAGAGACTGGGCACTCCCCACGTTGCACCCAGCCCTGGAAAAAGCAATAGGAGGTTGGCCAAAGGTGCTAGTTTAAGAACCAGGAAGGTTTGCAGGAAATCCAAGGGAGAAAAAATATTAGAAATCCCACTCCCTTTTTAATGTACCCACAAAAATTGAGCTGGGACTTTGAGCAACGGGCTCTAGATTTTCAAAAATGGCCAGTGACTTCAGCTGGGCCCTCTGAACTCAGCACAGCAGGGCAGGATCTCCTGGTGAGTTTTGCATTGCTGCAGTTACACCCTGCTTCTGCAGCATGTGGGAAGGAGCCCAGCACACTATGGAAACCAGGAATCTACCAAACAAGCATCAGTTTGTGCACTCCATCAACTCAGACCCTCCATCCTTTTTTGCTTTCAAAAATTCAGGCTGTAAAAATTAGGAAAATAAATACTGGAAACAACAACAAATAGAAGTGCTTCTGCCATTAAAAACAGGTGAAAAGGAGGCGCTAAGCCAAGTTAATCACAGAACTGAAATGAGATGTTGGAGAAAAGGGCCGTGGGTGACTTGGGGTTTGCAGTTAGCTGAGTGATGTGAAATCTCTTGTGTCTGGCTGAGCTCTGAAAGGAAACGCTTTATTAAATCTTCTTTGTGTGAGATTTCAAGCTGCCTCTGGACTGGAAAATAGGACCATTCCAGTATGTGGGATATAATCAGGAACTGAAGTCTTTAGTGCAGGGTTTTCTGCAGAGGAAATTCTGATCAGCATCGACACATAACTCAGAGGGCTCAGGATTTAGAAAGATGAATTAGACACCACATACCCACAACACACCTCTTCTACCCAGTATCCCCAAAATGCTTCACAGAATTAATCATGCTGGCAGCAACAACCCAGCATTAGGAAAGACAGTGCAGGTGGGCATAAATTCACCACACTGAATCAAAACTGTCCTGTGGGCCAGTGACTCCAAGGTCCATTATCTCAGCTTTCATCCCCACTAGAACACAGTGCTTGCCGTGATTGATCTCCCATGCCCTGGCTCTCCTGGGAGTCTCTAGTCTCACTGTACTTTCTGCTGTGATTCAGACACATTTTGGGCAGCTGCAGCCTCTTGCCATCCCTGTCCACACTGCTCATGCTTTGCTGTACTTCTCGTGTCACAGCAGGGCTCTGCCACCCCCAAACCCCTACAGAAAGCATTTACTAAAAGCAGCAGGGAGAGACAGGCACAACAGGACAAGTGAGAGGTTCAGAACACTCTCCCATGTCACACAATCTCCCCTTGCCCTTTTTCTTGTCACGTTTCTCTCTCTGTGTTTGGCCACATATCCAGGAAAACGAGACCTGACCAGAGACAGGACAAGCAGCAACAACAAGAGTTCCTCCTCTAAACTGCTTATTTCACAGCACAGCATGTCTGGATACGAACAGCCTGGAGTCTTGATCCTGCTGGAACTGGCAGGATTTGAGTTCCTGCTCTGCCTTCCACAAAGCCTGACAAGAAAGTGTCCCAAGGGGCTGAGACACAGCCAGCATTCCCCTTCCTTTGCACCACCCCCACGGCAGACGAGCTCCTTGCCTACCTGTTATTGCTGACAAGGAGGAGGACAGAACCATTCTGGATATTGGCTTCTTTGAGGGTCTCGTGCTCCTCGAGCTGCCTGGAGTTGTAATAAAATGTCTTTTTCCAGGAAGTGATGCCCTCCCGTACCAAGAGAGCCCGCAGGTCCATCACCGTGTCCCTGGGCCTGACTGTCAGGGGCATCATCAGGTCCTCATCAGCCAGGTGCACCTTGATGTGGTACCTCTTCCATCGAGACAGGCTCCTGCGCAGCGTGTCCATCCTCTCCAGCTCAGCAGGGCCAGCGTGGCAGAGCAGAGCATCCAGCTGGGAGACCAGCAAAGCAGGGACTGCCTCTGAAAGGGCTGGCTGCTGCAAACAGCTTAAAAAGTCCTGCCAAACCTGTTTCTCCCAGTTGCCACGCTGCATGCTTCGCATTCCAGGGAAGAGCTCACCTGGCTCCATGAGCCTGCTGGCTGGGAAACATCTCCATGAATCATTTCCACACACCCCTAAATCCCATAATAATTACCATGTCTTCAAAAGTGCTCTTCATTCCAATGGCTGGCAGAGGACTTTTAAAGGCAGATCTCCACAGACATTAGGAACGTGGGTGCATGTGAGAAATGAATGGGTTTAGCAACCTCATGTCTCCTGCTCTAAAGAGCTGCCAGCTGGGGAGAAGATCAGTTAGCAAAGCAGGCATTTAGCAACCTCACAGCTATTTAACATGGCCACTTTAATGAAAAGTACAGCTGCATAGTGACAAATTCCTCACGGAGGAGAGCCACAGCACCCTATAGAACCTGGCTGTGTGAACAACTCCCATCCTTGCAGTGCAGATTCCCCCAGCAGATCTGCACTGTCACTGCTCACAAACAATTTGGGACCCTCCAGAAGGGGTGTAGGACTCATTCACTGCTCGTCATACATCTGATACTGACTCAGATGAGCTCCTCGATGGTTCATGGTCTTGATTTCCTCTTCCTTTCAGGCCGCTGTCTAATTGCAGGGCTGATGATGTGCAGCACACAGTGGCATCAGCACCGCTGGGCTGCAGGCACGAACAGCTGGCACAGAGGCCTTCAAGTGCCAAGAGGAACCAGTCATACTTTGGGAAATACAATGCCACCTCTGCGAGGAAGGAGTTGATGTCAGCCACGGCTGTAATTGACTGATCCTGCAAGGCAGTCTCTGGCAGTCACAAGATGATACTTCAGAGCAAACACCATGAAGATAAGGAAGCCTTTTTTGCTCTTTTTCTCAAAAAGATCAAGTCACCCTCTTATCTTGTAGGTAACTTTTCTGCAGCCCATATTACAGGCTTTAATTCTCTCGTCCATTCTTCTCAACATAGACTAGTATTTTCAGACCAAAGTACTGCAAGACTGTTGAGTTCAGGGTCTGCTCTTCACTAAAAAGGAGCTGCACTTGCCCAGCAGATAACAAAACAGTCTGATTTCCGATAAGGCAGAAGTCAGCTCCCATTGAGAATAAGAGAAGTGTCCACTCTCCCATGGGGGAACAAGGAGGTTTCCACCTTTCTTCCACACCTCCCTTTTCCCTGCCCAGCACATCATGCCTCTGCCAAAACAGCAGCAAATATCTTCTTGCACCACGACCACGGGCTGTGGAGATTTCCCTGTGAGAACTGAGAAGAACTGAAGCTTCCATTGCAGCAGTTCTTTTCAGCTTGGGTCACTGTTGCAGAATTTCTGAGAGCGAGAGGGCATGATTTCTGTCTGGAGTGAGAATTGAGCTACCCCTCAGACCAGGTCCCTGATAAGTGCCTTGGTGGGGCCTGGAAGCCTTTGATGCAGTAAGAAATTAGTTGTGGCGCAGTTAGAAATTATGTTAAGGTGACTACAAAGTAATGAGCTATCTGAGTGTGAATTAGGGTAGAGCTGCAGTGTGAAAAGCCTGACCACCTTAAGACAAAGGTAAACAATGTTGGTTTGCCAATCAGAGTGCCTTTGTAAACTGTAAACTATATAGAAGTGTATATAAACTGCCATCTTCTCTCCAATAAACAGAGAACGTTGCATTAACCATATTGGTTCAAAGTGCGTTCTGTCCTGTCCAGCTTTCCTGTCTTATGAGGTTCCTGGGTTCAGGTCACTCCAGAGGTATGATTGCTTTGGTGGGGTCTGGGATGCTTGGGGCCTTGCTCTGCCACTGAGTTGCTGCAAAGGCGTGAGATGAATCATGTCATGCCTTGGTGTTTGTGTTTGCTCACCTCATGACTGCAGTGTGGTGTAACACGTGTTCCTGAAGCACCTTGTGGGAAACAGGAACTGCGTTTAGCACAGTCATGGTTTGGGAGCATCTGAGGATGCTTGTGATGGTAAAAGGGTTTTAAAATCATGGGGATTTCGGGTTAAAGGGAAAATTAAGCTTAGTAGGCCCTGAAAAAAATAAATACCCTAGGTACATGAAGGCCTCGTACCTTGCTACTACTGCTTAATCATAAGAATAATCATGAGAAACTGTGGTCAGGGGCCTAAGAAAGATCACGAGAAACTCATGTCAATGTATACAATAGAACAATATAAGTTTAATAATTAATGTGTAAGTTATATAATGATAGAATATCAAATACGTTCAGCTGGAAAGCCATGTCAGAGTCAGATTTGGGTCTGTACCCCTGATTCCCAGAGCTCTCAATAAAAGCACCTGCATAGAATCATATCCCGTGATTATCTGTGTTCCTGAATGCTGACACTTGGATTTACAAATATGCCAATAACCTTGAAGACAGAACAACATTACCCCTGTGAGAGATGGAGAAATTGAGGGATAAAGCTGTTAAAACCAAGAAAAGGCAAAAGGTCAGGCTCTGGCCCCCATATCCAGGTACCTCAGTGAGGGTTCTCATTTTCAGAGACCTGCAGAAACCCTCAAGCCCAGGGCCTGGTGATTCCTTCTCCATTGGGGTGACATTCACTTAGGGAGCCAAATTTCCTCCATGGTGCAAAGCCAGAGTCTCAGGGGTAAAGCAAGGGTCTGATCCAATTCCAGAGCCATCCAAGGGCAGCCAGAGCTGGAACAGGCCCCAGACACACCATGCTCTGATGGCTCTGGCCAACAGAATTTGCCCAGTGAGTGCCAAGGGGAGCATAAGGCATCCTCACTTCAGCAGAGCCTGTCTGGTGTCAGCAAGCCCATCAGCTCCATCCTTCCAGCATACGTGACAGCCTGACAGTTGCCAAATACCTCCCTCAGACACCTTTCAGACAGATCCTGTTTATTTTTAGGACAGCTCTTTCCCATCAAAGCTCAGATGCAAATCATTACAGAGAAAGGGGGGGATGGTGGCAGGGAGAAAGCAGCAATTATTTTTACTTCTTTGCCTATCATGTGGTTGCAAACTTTCCTCTTGTACCCCCATCTGCCCACATTGGGACCCTTCATTTTATGAAAAGAGATGATGTCCCAGCCTATGAAAGCAGGGTAAGGAGAAGCATAGCACTGAAGTCAGCTTATGAAATATTGAAGCAATGAAATCCTCACGGAACACGTGAATGCCTAATGCCATTTTCAATTAATTCTGGATTTTTCATTAAACCACTATTAAAAGCAAAAGGACAGCAGAAATAAGGGAAATTGACTTGAGCAGTATATTAAATACCTTAGTTTTGCTTGAGGATGTTTTATTATCTTTCCAAAGCAATTATTTCACCAGCTCCTGATGGTTTGTAGGCTAAAGACAGGTATGGGGTAAAGTTCTAGATGGTCTTTCCTCAAAATTATTTTAATTTCTGTCCCCTAGCCTGCACCTGGCAGTCTGTCTCTGGTATGTCATATCTGGAGGATAAGACATGGAGTCAGAGTTCTGGGAATCTGTAATAAAGTGTCACTCTGGCATTATTTACAAATCAAATAAAAACTTGTTGACTTAAGCTTTTCCCCATATTGAGGGCAAACAAAAGACATGCAAATATTCAGAGACATTCATTAGGAAAGCCTGAAAAGCAATTTAAAACCCAGGTGGGCTGTGATTTTTTTACGGACAGAAGAAATAAAGCAACAGCATTTATAAAATGTCTCCTCTTCTGTTCTCAGAGCTTCCTCACTCCATTGACTAGAGCAAAAGAGAAACACCTGCCTAAATTAGGTGCTTTGTTAAGATGTCTCAAGATGGTTGAGATGATCTTGGGCCTTATAACTTCTTCTCATAATGACAGAATAGAGACATTCATTCCTTAGGCAGGTGGATTTTCGGTGGGGTTGGTTGTTTGACAGTGGATGTTTTGCTGTTTGCTGTGCTGCTCTCCTTGAAAAGGGCATTAGAGAAGTGGGAGGCTGCTCAATAAGAAAATAATGTTTTGCTAAGGAAATAAAGGTTTCAATATGGAAATAAAGGCTTCTTTATTTTCTGGCAGCAATCGCAGGGAAACTGAAACATCTGGGAGAAATCTGATGCTGATTCCCCTAGCAGAACCTGTAAGTCTTTGAGGAAATCACTCAGCCAGTGCTGTCATTCTGCCAAGGCAGACCCTTTGCTACTCCCTGAAGCCCTCTGATCCCAGGGCTTGTGGTCAATAGTGCTGAACACTAAGGATTTTCCTCTGATGTCTCTTTGGGGACACTTTGTGTTTGGAAGCAGAGAGAGAGCAAGGGATGAAGCATGAGAGCTGACCACCCTGCTCAGGCTGACCAGACCTTACACCTGCAGTCCTACAACACTGGGTACTAAAGAGGGGCTTTTTGGCAGAGTACCAAAAAGACTCAATTCAGCTGGTGGGCACATTCTCAACCCAAACACTGTTCTCCTGCTCCATTAACCAAAAGTGCAGAGAAAAGGCTGCAGCATTGTGAGCTCTGACACCCAAACTAGGTGCTGGGGAAGCAGGAGGCTGGGAAAGGTTCATTCATAGAGCGAACAGCTGTGCAGGCTTAACAGTGATAAAAGAAGGTTATAATCTTCACTCCAATATGCAGCTGTCACCTAATTATTCAGTTCCTCAGGTGATGAAGCAGTTTAAGGTACTGGTATTTATATTTCTGAAGTACCAGAGGCCCCAACTAGAGCTGTACCACCACGTGCCAAGATGAGTAAGGCCTTTCCTATCACTCAGTGCTCCTCTCCTCCTGAGATGTGCTTGGTTATGAAATGACTGGGCTCACTTTATATGTCAGCTTACATCTCCAGCAAATGGACAAAGAGATAATAAATGATTAATTAATGCTTTGAGAAATGAGTAATTAAATGCAACAGCTTTTTAAGAGTCCAACGGATAAGGACAAAATATGTAAGCCCAAGTGATAAGGCTTTCTCCTGATAGAACTTATCTGCAGCACACTGCTCACATCTGCAAGAGGGCTTAGAACACTAGTAACTTCTTGTGCACCAGGAAAAAAGAGCCTTTCTGTGATAGAGGAGCACTTCTCCTGGGGATTAAGACAAAATCCTCTTTGTTTAGACATTTTAAATCCAGAAAAGCTGGAAGATGCTTACTTTAATGTGCATGGGAGGTATGACTGTCAAGCAGAGCCCCAGCCTCCCATCCTTGCCTGGCATGGGGGAAAGTGTCAACATCTTCCTGCCCTGTTCTAAGCCACAATCAGGAGCTCTCCATCTGCTCCACCAGCATAATAGATTTTTTTTTTTTTTTTTTTAATATGGTACTCTCATTCTGTCTGCTACAAATGAGGATCTCTGCCAGTAACACAGCTGAAGTCACCGAGTAAAGCAGATCCTGCTGCAAGTATCCAAATCAGATTCCAAAAGGCCCCACAACTGCTCTGGCCAGCTGCCCAGCAAAAAGATTGCACTACTGGGAGTTGGTGGATTGTTTGGCATGGAATTGAACTTCAAACGGGCTACAGGGGGGAAAAAAGTATTTATATTTAGTTTTGAAGGAGCAAACCTGCCTGGGTTTGGAACACAAATGAACCTGCAAGTTTTCTGAGCAAAAGTTGTATGTGAGTTGGTGACATTCTCTGGTGGAAAAGGCAATGTGAAGGAAAAAAATCCCTGGTAATGCACATGTTAAATGAACCAGTCAAGTGCAGACAATGGAAAAGCTGAAAAATTGATATGGAGGAAAGCATTTTGTGGTGGTAGCTATTTCTCACTGCAGTTCTTTATAACGTCCCAGATAGGAAATTCATGGCCCTCAGAAGAAGTTTGTATCTTTGGGTTTTGGGCTGAGGCAGCCCATGACTCACTCACCAGAGAGGGTTGGCTATAAACTGAAAAATAAGCAAGAAAATGGTGAGCAAACAAAAGACAAATGAGTTAACTGATGAGAGAGCAAAAAAAAACCCCAAACTCTGCACACAAAGGAGGGCCTGGATGGAGAGACAGAGAGAATGTTTGTGCCACTGAGGACTCAGGAGCTGCCATCCCAGGCAGCCAGCTCCACTTCTTTTAGGCGAAACAAATTCAGTCTTCAAAAGTGAGATGGGCGGAAATAGAAGATTTGAGGCTCTAAGAGCCATTCCAGCTGCAGCACCATCATTTTCCAGAGGCTCGAGGAAGAGAGACACAATCTGTGGATCTGCATTGCCATCTAACGGCAAGGCAGAGCTGGGAGCATTGGCTGGGGCCCAGCAATGGGCTGGAAAAGTAAAAAACAAGGAGGAGATGGCCAGCAGGGATAGTCCTGTGCTCTACATGCAAATCCTGAGAGGTCTCACTGATGAAGAGCAGTCCAGAGAAAAGCAGAGCAGCCAAAATCTTCTCGTAGAGGCCGATTCCTTCTTTTCCAGGATCCTCTCCATTCTGTATTAGCCTGAAGTATTAGCATGGATTGAGGGTGGCATTTGCTTTCTTCTGCTGTACCCTGTTCTTCTAATGCTGGCAGTGAGACAGGCTTCCCAAGCAGGTGTGTATTTCAGGTATCAAGGAATTCTGCCCTCCTATTCAAAACAGTGTAAAATTCATTATCTCAGGTGTTCAAAGATCCTGCTGGGAAATGCAGGTAACTGGGATTATTGAAGAAAAGAGACAGATTTCCCTGGGATCGAGGCACAGGAAAAGCAGATCTACTCTTTTCATCACACTCAGCCCAGTGTTCATCCCTGGTCAGTAATGGATACTTAATGAGAATGTATTTCAGGTTGGCACTGGCACACACACAGAAAAGGGTGGAGGGAGAACCCACAGAGCAAAAAATTCACTGAGATGTGAGGGTTTACACATCTTGTCATTTAAAAGGAAATGTCAGGAAGAGAGATAAGTTTGATGTTCAGTCTAGTGTCACCTTTTCTACTGATCCACCATATTATATTGTTTCTACAACAGAAAATTTACAAGAGAGTGGATTGTTGGGAGTTACTTATTTTAGTAAAATTAAGGAAAATGGTAAAGGGTTGTCAACAGCTTCTTTCTTCTGCTTTGAATTGCTTCTAGCCTTGATACATGCAGCTTTGTATATGAGGGGTAGGAGCTCAATCAGTGCGAAAGAGAGGAAGAAGATCTTTTATGACCAAAGTTTGGAGCAGAGAAGGAGCTGCAGGAGAAACTGGGGAATATAAAGTGTCTGGTTTCCCCAGCTAGAGAAATTGGCCATGTTGTGGGTCTCAGCTAACTGCTGGGCCACAAAAAAAGGAGTAGGGATTGACAGCAGAGAAAATGTTGAGACCTGCCAGACTTCAGGCCACAGGTCTGACCACCCCCAGTCTGTTCAGATGCCTGCTGTGACAAGCTTCCCATGCAGCCTGCTGCCAAAGGAATGAGCACACTCTCCAACAATCCAACTTCATTTCCTTCTGGTATCCTCTCATATTTACACACCAACCTTGCCAAGCTTTGCTCAGCCCAAACAATTCCTCAGAAAGAAAAGGAAAAACAAAGGAACTCTTACAGCCTGTAAAGCACCTTCCTGCCTGCCTGAAACAAAAAAAAAAAAAAAAAAAAAAAAAAAAAAAAAAAAAAAGGTTTAGAGTGCTCTTCTTTCTCTCTTGGTTGCTCACTGTTTCCCAAGCTGATGAAAACCAGAGGCTGTGGGACTGACAGGATTATCATCACTAAATTCTTCAGGTGCTTCTCTCCAGTTAGTGATGCAGGGAAAGGAAGAAGGGCATGTACCTGGTTGAAGGGCTACAGAGAACATGTTTCTTGATGTTCCTTTCTAAATGTGGCTCTGAGTCATGCAACAGCGTTGATTAGAAAAATTATCTTCCTCAGCTGAAGTAGAAAGGAAAAATAATTTTGTTTGGTGTTTGCTTCCCCAGCCCTGAATCCAAGCCTGCCCGAGGCTGTGGCAGGAAGGGGGCTGGTGAGCTGACTGGAAAACCACTTTTGCTTCTCTCTATCATAGAAATTATGAAGAGGCTGTGAGAGCAGCCACAGGAACAGCTCAAAATGCACACCTAAGGGTACAAGCAGCTGTTGTCCCAAGGAGCAGCACGCACAGCCTCGCATCAGCCTCCATTCCACAAGTTCCTACATGTGCTGGGTTAAACAGGGCTAACACGGTCCTTCCCACTCCATTGCCCTCCCTTGTGTCTTCAAACTACACCCCAAAAGCTGCTCCTCTGAGTCAGAGAGCCTGTGGCACATCCAGCCTCGTGGCACGCTGAGCACGAGGTGGAACAGCTCTGAAGGCAGGATGGCAGTGGCGGCATGGCTGAGGGAAGGAAGCCCTGAAAGAGCTGTTATAAATGAAAATTTGTCTAGCCAAATTTAAAATGAAAAAATAAAATATTTGTTTGCAATCAAATTCTATCTAGCCAGCCACAAGGAAAGAACAGAGCCGAGCCAGGGGTTGGCCCTGGGTGTGCAATAAGAAGTCAGCCTCAGCACAGGTTTTCCTCTATGCCCACACACCTCTAGCTTGGCACAAACGGTTTTTATAGGGAAAATTCTGCCTAAGGCTAAGATTTCGGCAGTCAGTCTTTTCTTCCATTCAGAGTCCATAGGTTAATAAGATTTTCTTTTTTGGTGATGAAGAAGAACAATTCCGTGTCCGGAGCTGTTGAATCTCTTGATGAAATTTATGGGAACCTGCATTTACATGTGTCTGCCCGAAGATTTCTATGATATCCATCTCAGGTCCTTCAGGCGATGATCAGTGCCTGGGTGTCCCAATTCTCTCCAGACATGGCCCATCTCCTGGTGTCCCCGTATCTCTCCAGACATGGCCTATCTCCTGGCCAAGACACATCCTTTTACTTGTAAACTGGGTTTTAATATACACCAGGTTTTGCGCGAGGGTAGGGGGGGGACTCCTGATACAAGCGTGTATACGCTAACAAATATTTAATATCACATATACCATACTAGAAATGGCACGGATTATATCTACTACACATAACAGAGCCATAAAACACAGCCAGCTGCTTGGAACAGACAGCAGCGGTGTGAGCTGGACCACTCAGCCAGCTGAGGAAAATTATTAGAGATGTATCTTGTCCCAAAGAAATCTGGTGGGGGTCCTGTGCTCACCCTGAGCTCACCTCACTCAGCTCCTAGTTTTCATCCCCAAACGCCTGCAGAGCCTCTGCTGCCCTCCGCCAGCAAATTCCCACAGCAGGAAGGCGAGGAGAAGTGCAAATTATTGTGATTAACGTGGTTTATTGGGCTGTAATATTTCTCAAGGATTGGAAACAGTGATAACACAGTGCTTCACCCCTACGCTTAAACCCGCCCCAGACTGAGGTCCTGTGTGATTTTACCTTCCACTGTTCAAATCACAGAATAGCTTAAAAGTCATTGGAATTAGACTTTAAAAATGCTCAGGGAAAAAAAAAGTAATTGGAATTAAATTAGAAAGACCGCCTTGCTAGAGAGACACCCGGAAAAATCACACTTAATTTCGTGAGGCGTTCAGAGGGGTACAGGCGCATACCAAGTGCCAGCACTAGTTTCTAAGCAAACACTGAACTTAGAGCTGTTAAAAATTCCGATTTTTTTTTTAACATTAAAACAAAAATCAAACAAAGAAGAATGAGAAGGAAAAGAAAGGGTAAAAAACACACAAAAGAAGCAAAACCATCCCCCCGCCGCCGCTGGCGGTGCCCGGGCGGGGCCGTCCCCACAGCCCGCCGGGAGCCGCAGTCCGCGGCCGCCGCCATCTTGGCGCCGCCTCAGCGCCGCCCCTGAGGGCTCCCGGCAGCCATCTTGGGGTGCGGGGCGGGCTGGGTTTTGTAAAATTAATTCGTTTTGATTTAAACAACGACAACAAAATCGTTGTGGCGTTTTAACCCCAGCTGGCTGCCGAGCACCGCGTAGCCACTCACTTGCTCGCCCACAAGTGGAATCAAGAGACAATCAGAAGGGTAAAAGCTGGAGAGCTGCTGGGTTAAAAGAAAGGCAGTTTAATAGGGGAAACAAAAGCTGTGCGCACAAGCGAAGGAAAATTGGGAATTAATTCACTGCTTCCCGTGGGTATTGTGCATTCCAGGAGAACAGGGCCACATCCCATGGAATGGTGACATGGGAAGACAAATGCCATCACTCCAAAAGTCCCCCATTTGTTCCTCCTTCTCCCCATTTATATCCTGAGTGGGATGTCAGATGCTCTGGAATATCCTGGCTCTGGAATATCTCGGCTCTGGAATATCCTGGCTTTGTCCCCTCCCAATCTCTCAGGCACCCCCAGCCCCCTCCCCAGCTTGGTCCTGTAAGTGGCAGGAAAGGCCTTGGCTCTGTGCAAGCTCAGCAATAACAAAAGCATCACTATATTCTCAACCCTGTTTTCAGAACAAATCCAAAACACAGCCCTGTACCAGCCACTGGGAAGGAAATTAACTCTATCACAGCCGCAGGCATTGTGCTGGTGTTGGCTTCATGTCCGCTCTACTATCATGTTTAGCTCAATAAAGGTCAGATTTTTCCCTAAAAGTCTCTCCCAAAGGCCTTACAGTGCCGTGCCAGCTCAGCCCCAGAGGATGGGGAAGTTCTGGGACTTGTGCCGAGTGTCCTGGTGCCCTCATGGCTTGGACAGGGGGACTGAGGGGCTGTGCAGGCAGCTCGGGCTGGGACGGGGCTGCAGGGAGCAAAGCACAGCAGAGCTGAGCAGGGACACAGCATCGAGTGGTCAACGGGACCTGGATCGGGGAAAGAACTGGGCATTGTGAAGGGTGGATATCAGGAAAAGGTTCTTCCCCCAGAGGGTGGCTGGGCACTGGATATATTGCCCAGGGGACAGCCCCAAGGGTGCCAAAGCTCCAGGAGTGTTTGGACAATGCTCTCATGAACTGGGTGGGATTGTTCGGCTATCTGTGCAGAGCCAGGAGTTGGATTTGATGACCCCTGTGGGACCCATCTCAGTATATTCCATGGCTCTATGCAGGTGCCAGGGTAGCAAAGTCAGAAACTGGCTCTGGAAGGTGCCTCATATCAGAATATCAGAACATCAGAGCAGTCAGGACAAGGCTGTGTGGGGCTGGGAAGCTCAGCAAGAGCTTGTGAAGGGATGGAATGGTTTTGGGGACGCGTTTAATAGAGCTGCAAAAGGAAGCAGAGCTCGTCCTGGGGCTGTTGGACGCTCTGCTTGGTGTCCTCTGTCAGTGGAGAAATTCCTGCCCTCCCCAGAGCCTGCTCTTCCCTGACAGAGTGAAGGTGACTGCTTCATACAGCAGAAGGAGTAATTTACGGTGCTCATCGGACTGCAACTTCAAGTGTTGTTCAGTTCCCCAAGTATTTATTGAGGGAAATTTCAAGGACAGGCATTCAAACTCACTGAGTTTGCCTTGAGCCTGAAGTTGACATCTAAATTTGAGCTCTGTTATGCGTTATACTATCACACATTATAGCTAGCTCCTTAACACCAGTGCTTATTTTTACAGTAAAAACCTCTGCTGTCTCATATCCTGCATATTTTTATAACTTAAATTTAGCCACCGCTTAAACATAGATTTTTTTAAAAACTGAATTATTTATTTTATGTCTGGATTTATTTTGGAGTAACGTAAAGAGATCCTTCCCTTCATTAGCTTCATGCCTTTATTCCAGGAAGGCAGGCCATCCCCAAGATCTGCTGGGTTGGTTAATTGCTGTGCACACACAAAGGGGAGCTAATCAGCTTTTCTTCAAGCATGTGTTCATATGTCAACACTCTTGCTTCTGTCAGAAGCTTAAAAATGGAAACAGTTTTCTCTTTAAGAAAACAGGACCCAAATAAGGAGATGGAGTGGTGAAGATTCCTCTAGTGAGTCTGTTCCAGCTCATTCCTTAGAAAGGCTGTGGATGGAGCACTGGAGAAGAGGCCAATAGATCTGGGTTTTGTCCAGGGGGGTCTGGGTTTAAAGCTCTCTGAAAGCACTGGTAGCTCATTTTCCCTGTGACTTGCCTGGGTACAACTTCTTTCTCTGTCCAAGCTGCTAAAAATCTACAATTTTACTAATAAGATTCTTTTAGTTGCGTGACAGATCCAGCCTACCCTTGAGCAAAAATGGAAGCTATCAAGAAAAAGATGCAGATGTTGAAGTTAGACAAGGAGAATGCCATTGACAGAGCAGAGCAGGCTGAGACAGATAAGAAGGCAGCTGAGGACAAATGCAAGCAGGTAAGTGGAAATAAAATCACTGGCTGTGTGTGTGCTGTGGAAATAAGTGTAACAAAATACCGTTGTGGCAATGTTCTGATTCAGAAAGCAAAATAATTTGAAGTAAGTTTTCTGTTAATCTTCTTTTGAAGTTTTTTGCCTTTTTGTTATGGTTCTACAGCCAAGACTGGGCTATAACTTCTCAGCCATCTCAGTCTTTCCAAAATTAACATCATCCACAGATTATTAACAGTACTTTGTCTAAGTTTTCTTGAATCTTACATAATTGTCCTAAATTTCTCATGCTTTGATTCCGTGCAAGAGGCCTTTACGTATTTAAAATCAAAGCTGTAAACCCTGACACCTGTAGGACTAGTGCTAATAGAGTCAGCTGTGTCTAAACAGTAATTAAGCCTCTCCTTGAAATGAATTAATAAAGTTCACTTCAAGTTCTTGGTGCAGAGAGTGCCCCTTAGAGGTACCAGCTGAGACTCAACAGGAGATATGTTCTCTTATTTTTTGTGTAAAGAATAATGGAAAATATCTTAATTTGAATGCTGTTCTTTTATGTGAATTCTAAGGATAACAAGAATATGTCTTTTGCTTTTTAATGTCTTTATTCTGGGTGTCTGTCTCCTATTTGAGCTTTAATATTTCCAAAATGATCTTGAAATGTTAGCTGAGTATATTCAAGTTTTCCCTTTCACGTTCTCTAAATTTGGCTGCTTCTACATCTTTCATGCTACTCTAATATATTATAAGCATTCATCTGGCCTAATATTTCTTCTTCTTTAGAAAAAATAAATCTTTGATCTTACTCCTCTTTTCTGAATTGTCTCAAAATTTTCAGCTTCTTTTTTAATGTGGGCACAGTACTCAAATAATTACTTTAATATTCATACACAAAGCCAGCATCTGTTTCATGCTGCTCACTGTCCCTCTGTCAGAACATCCAAGCAAAGTTTGCAGTTCTCTCACACTGTCTGGTTATTCTCTGCAACACAACAACATTCCAGAACAGCACACTACCAAAAATGTCTTTAAAACTATCAGTGAAACTAAAATGAAGGAAGTACACCAAAACACAAACTATTTTGATGGAGTAAATTTCTGTGAAGGTGGAGCTAAATGGATAAATCACTGTCTCAACAGAGTGAGCTGTTTTGTGTTGCAAATGAAAGGATGAAGCAGATAGGTTTGCAGGCCCGCCCTTATCAGCAGCAGGCCTTTGATAAGGTGAATTCTTCACCTTATCACTCATGCACAAGGGAGCATGAGACTGTCACTAAACACCCTCCCAGCAAGTTATAAATAGCACCATTCTAGTGAAAAATATGGATTTATATGGTATGGAGGAGTCTGAGCCTCATCGTATGGTGAAGTTTATGGTGTTGGGCCACAGAGAATCATCCAGGTTGGAAGGGACCTCCTGAGGTCCCACCTAGAGAAAAGCCAGCCCCATTCCCTCCCACATCCACAGCACCTCATTTGGGCTGAAGTGTCCTGAAGCACACACAAAGATCATTAAGAAAGAACTGCTATTTTTTTTTCAGCTGTACAGGAATTGAACAGTTTCCAGAAAAATCACCAGGAAATAGTGTTAGAAGAAACAGTAAAAGGACATCATTTAAAAACATCTAGAATTATGCTGCAAAACTGCTCCAGGGTGTCAAAAAAAACCTAAGTGAGGTGAAAAAGGGCTTATACCAAGATCCTGTGTGTGTGGTGGCAGGCGGTGTTGCTCAAGGATGATGTGTTTTTAATGATCCTTCCCTGGCAACTGCTACCAGTCATTCTCAGACTACTATCACTAGCAGAACTTTGATCTGGTCTTTTGTGGCTTTTGTATGCTATATTGGCTTAAAACTAATAGTAAAGACTGGTTTTATCATAGTAAACTAACTGATACTACATCAGTATGCTCACATTGGGGATTTTTTTCTCTTGAAAGGTAGAAGATGAGCTGGTAGCTCTGCAGAAGAAGCTGAAAGGAACTGAAGATGAGCTGGATAAATACTCAGAGGCTCTTAAAGATGCCCAGGAAAAACTGGAGCAGGCTGAGAAGAAGGCCACTGATGTATGTATCCATGGCTAACACTTGCTCTATTTGTATGCACTTCAGTGGCTGTATGCATTTCTGCCGAGGCAGAAAGGTGGGGTTAGGGGATTTTAAAAGGTGCAAGGTTTTTATCTCCTCTCCCCTCTGCTGGAGAGAGCGGAGCTGTTCTGCACCGAGACCGTGGCACCCGCAGCTGCCCCCGGGAGCCGGCACCACTTGAGGCTCGATGGGTACCCTGAGGGGACCCCGGGGGACCTGCCGGGCATTCTTGAGGAAAGGAGAAATCCCCTTTAATAGGACTAAACAACACGGTGCCTTTGGAAGGAAAATGGGACGGCAACAGGGCGATGGATGCCCTTTGCCTTCATCCCCGCAACAGGGCTAAAGGCCAGTCCAGGCTCCCTGCCACGCCCGCCTCGTCGTGGCAGTGGCGTGAAAGCCTCCACTTTGTGGGGCCGGGGAGCGCGGCTGCGGGGGCAGCATCCCGCGGGAAAAATCCTCCCGGGGAAAATCCTCCCGGGGCAGCATTCCGCGGGAGCAGCATCCTCGGGGGTAGCATCCCGGGGGGCAGAATTCTGCAAGGGCAAAATCCTCCGGGGGCAGCATCCCCGGGGGCAAAATCCCCCGGAGGCAGCATCTCCCGGGGGGGGCAGCATTCCCGGGGGCAGCATCTCCCGGGGGGCAGCATCCCGCGGGGGCAAAATCCTCCCGGGGCAGCATCCTCGGGGGGCAGCATTCCCGGGGGCAAAATCCTCCCGGGGCAGCATCCCCGGGGGGGGGCAAAATCCTCCAGGGGCAGCATCCCCGGCGGCAGCATCTCCCGGGGGGACAAAATCCCGTGGCGGCAGCATCCCCGCGGGGGCAAAATCCTCCGGGGAAAGCATTCCCGGGGGCAAAATCCTCCCGGGGCAGCATCCCCGGGGGGGGCAAAATCCTCCCGGGGCAGCATCTCCCGGGGGCAGCATCCCTGGGGGGGCAAAATCCTCCGGGGGTAGCATTCCGCGGGGGCAAAATCCTCCAGGGGCAGCATCCCCGGGGGGCAGCATCCCGCGGGGGCAGCATCCCCGGTGGCAGCATCCCCCGGGCCGGGCCGGGCCGGGCCGGGCTGGGCCGGGCCGCCCCGCTGCTCGGCGCTACGTCAGCACCTCCACCTCCAGGCGCGTGACGTCAGCGGGCCATTGAAAGGCGCGGGCCCGCCACGTGCAGCAGCTCCGCGCCCAGCCCGTCCGCGCCGCGCCCATGGCCGCGCCGAGCTCCCTGGAAGCCGTCAAGAGGAAGATCCAGTGCCTGCAGCAACAGGCGGATGAGGCGGAGGACCGCGCGCAGGTCCTCCAGCGGGAGCTGGACCTGGAACGGGACCTGCGGGAGAAAGTGAGACCGCCCGGGCTGCCTGCTCGCCTCTCTCGGTCGCTCTCTCCCGGGCTGCTCCTTCCTTCCTGTCTCTGGCTCTCTCTCGCTGGGGCGCGCCCGGCTCTTCCCCGCTGCGGGAGGACGGCTTGGCCGCCGGCTGCCTCCATCCCTGGGCTGTCCCCGCGCTGCTCCGCTCCGCTCCGCTCCGCACTCACCGCCCGCGGGCGCCGCCGCAGCGCCGCGCCCGCACCGGCCCGGCCCGCGGGAGAACCGGGCGCGGCGGCGGCTCGCCCGCCGCTTATCGCGCTTTGGGGCCCATCCTGTGGAAAAGGCGCTCGAGCACCCATCGGCACTGGGGAGCGGTTGAGATTTTAATAGGAAATGGCTGTTTAATTAGGCAAAAGCGCTGCATGACACGGAGCGGGGAGTTCCCGCCTCTCGGCGCCGCACCGCTGGCTTCAGCACAGCTGGGAAATGTCCGAACTGCTGAAAAATAACTTTCCGTCCTGGTTTTCACAGAGAAATGCGAATTCTCCGCTAGCGTGCGGCTCTCCCGGGGTTGGACAGCTGGTTTCACTTAGATTTGTGTGCGATCAGCCTTCCCGGCATCTTCCTGCTATTTTATCACATGTCAGCGAGTTAGTTTTACCGTATAAGGACTGCGGGCTGCTGCTGGGAGAGGTGGAGCCAGGCTCACCCCAGATTCCCAGTGGCCCCGACTCCATAACTTTGGAATCTTGCTGAATTAAAATGTGACTTAAAAGTGCCCTGTCTAGTGGAAGGAGTTGCTGCCACAGAACAGATGCCAGTTCTGTACATGGTCGATGCCTTGTGTATAAATCGGGAAGTTAAACACTGCACTGGGTAAAAACAGATGAAATGTTGGATAATTTCTGACTAGAGGAATCCTGGGTCAGCTTCCATTTGGATCAGCCGCTGAACTCCTTTCCAAGATGGCTCAGAAGTGAATGGAAACCACTTCCTCCAGCTTAGGAGTGGTCAGTGACCAAATTTGCTAAGCTGCAGCAAGACGCTTTTTTTTTTCCAAAGTGTTTTAACATAAAGCATAAAACAGTTGCCCCTCCAGAGTCTGTATTCCACAAAAGTCTTTGGGGAAAAAAAAAGTTAATCTTGTATATGGCAATCCTCCTCAGATTGGGGGACAGTATAGTGCACAAGCCTGACAGTTACTGAAACAAGGCTCTATTTTCCTTCAAAAACAAGCAATTAAAGGGACCTGAATCTTAATAAACACATATTTATGGACCCCAATTTGTCCATGTTGTCTGTATCAAGCATTTCTCCCAGCAGTATCTTCCATTTATTAACTAGTCTATTTTTTATACATTAGTGGTGTTCCAATTACTGTGCAGTTTATTCAATAATACACAAACAGATCTTATTACTGAGAAATGCGCCCTGCCTAATTCCTTAGGTACCGCAGGAAGCAAAGTTGTATCAGCAAAAATCAGATATATTTTAAGAATATATCTGATTTTGTCCCAAAAAAGCCTGAGGTCAGTGTCTGTGCCCAGCTGACCACGTAGATGCTCCAGCAGCCAGGATGGATCAGGAGCTGGCTGCAGCTTCACAGTGAGCTGTGACAGGGCGCCACTGAAACCAAGGGCAGAGAAACCAACGGTGAAGGGTTTGGAACTAAGCCATCGTGGAAACAGTTCATTTTTTAAGTTTGAATACATGCAGCCCTGTGAAGTGCTCCAAAAATACCCCGATCCTTTTGCAATCCTGTAGATTTCCTTTTTGTGGGGCAGGAATGATAAGTGCCATTAAAAAAAGAAAGGACAAGCACACACTTCATACCTTGACATTCCTGAGATGCCAGAGTTTAAGCAAACAAAAAAGCAGAGGCAGAAGGGCCCCTGAGCTGCCCTGCATGTCCCAGGGAGATGCTGCTGTAGTTGTAAGGAAACTGATTCACTGGGGGCATGTGCCAGCAGCGAGTGCCCCGTGTAACCCTGCTCTGGTTCACGCAGGCTGAAGGGGAGGTGGCAGCTCTGAACAGACGCATCCAGCTCGTGGAAGAGGAGTTGGATCGTGCCCAGGAACGACTGGCCACAGCCCTGCAGAAACTGGAGGAGGCTGAGAAAGCAGCAGATGAGAGCGAGAGGTACCCTCCTTTTTTATTTTCTGTTGTTAAAAAAATGAATACATGTGAATAAAATATTCCTGTGTCATTAAATATCTGCATGTGCTACTGCAGGGCAGAGACTTGAAACTTTTTTACAAGCTTAATTGGGTAATTCTGTTAGCCTTGATGAACACGATGGGCCACTTTTAGGCTACAAATATCAAATTCCACTTTGTGAAGTTGAGATACAAGTGCCAAAATACTTCTCAGTTAAACATGCTTTGATTTCTGCAGAGGAATGAAGGTTATTGAGAACAGAGCAATGAAAGATGAAGAGAAAATGGAAATTCAGGAAATGCAGTTGAAGGAGGCCAAGCACATTGCTGAAGAAGCCGACCGCAAGTATGAGGAGGTAAAAGGGAGAAGGAAATGGTGAAATGGTGAAAGCTACAGGAGAGCCATGAACAGTAACACTGCTCTTCAGTCTAGTCCCTCTGTTCAGTTGGCACTGGGTGATGCTTCAACCTTGCAACATTGCCAGCAAGGAGGAATTTTAATAGTGATTTGCAGCTTCTTAGGTACCTAATGCTAAAAATACTGCAAAATCTAACTAATTGGGGAGGGCTGTTACCTCTGTGGGTGCGTGCTTTAGCCTAATTTCCTTACTCCAGAGGAAGCAGGAACAGAGTACTTCTGAGTGCTTTCTGAAATCTGCAAGGAAGTTGTCCCAGGCTGTGGCAGGGGGTGGAACTAGATGATTTTTGAGGTCCCTCCCAACCCAAGCTGTACTGTGATTCTGTGAATTGCACACTGGCCTGACAACTGGCTGTTGTCTTTTTACAGGTCGCCCGTAAACTGGTTATTTTGGAGGGTGAACTGGAAAGAGCTGAGGAGCGTGCAGAGGTGTCTGAAGTGTGAGTAACTTTCTAGAATATCGGAAATACCAACACTACATTTCAATAAAACTAATCTGGTAGGCAGGCATGTAGTTAGTACTTGCAGAAAAGTCTGTTTGTACACTGCATACGTGGTTTTCTTCTTTCACACTTAATTACTTCCTCCCTTGTATTTCTTAGACTCCTCCAAATCATAACAGGAACACCAGTAATTCGTACTTCTATTTTTCCCTTCTAGTAAATGCAGTGACCTCGAAGAGGAGTTAAAGAACGTCACAAACAACCTGAAATCTTTGGAAGCTCAATCTGAAAAGGTTGGTTCTTTCAGTAAACTAAAGGATATGGGCAAAGCCTAAACTTGTAAATAGAATTCATAGAAATAAACCAGAAATACAAAGCAGATGAGAGGTTTTACCTGCCTGCCTGTGGATACCACTCCAAACAATCCTGAAGGTCTGCAGGAGAGCAGAAAAGCACGGAAATGGTGTTTGCAGCTGTTGTAAAAGGAAGAGTGCTTATAAATAGGTCACAGTTTCATAAACATTTATTATTGTTGCTACAACTTCCCTTAAAGAGTGTTTATTGTTTTCACAGTACTCGGAAAAAGAAGATAAATATGAAGAAGAAATCAAGATTCTCTCTGACAAGCTGAAAGAAGTAAGTTTGGCCATCCCCATGCTGGATGCATCTTGAGGCATAATCTTTCTAGGAGCATCCAGTGATGCTGTTTCAACTTTTTTAGGCTGAAACTCGTGCAGAATTTGCAGAGAGAACTGTTGCCAAACTGGAAAAGTCTATTGATGACCTGGAAGGTATGGAATGAGTCAAGTTTCTTTAAAGGTGGTCAGTTTCAAATCGGAACAAATTCTAGGAGTGGGTGGTGGATGTAACGGGAAAGAACAGCAGCACTGGTCAGGCATATGGTGGATGGGTGTGATGTGTCCACTGGGCACCTGCCCTGTGTGGTGGAAGTTCTCATGAAAAAGGTTTTCTTCCATAAAGTTGGTAACAATGACCTGATTTTGGCCAACTAACAGATGGAGGGACTCAAGGGCTCATGATCCCCACCCTACTTAATCTGAAAACAATAATGAGATTACAAAAAGTTCACATAGGTGAAACTTCTGACCAGGCAGTTTTGTGGGTGTTTTGCTTTCCTTCTGATACTCAACTATGCCTCTGTTTTCTTCTTTTGTTTCCTCCCCAACTGCTTTGGCTGCTGTTGCCTTTTGCCTGTCTCCATTCTCCTCCTGTGGGCTCTTCTCTTGCCTGCATTTCTTGCTGCCTGTTCCTGCTGCCCTGGTGCTGACAGACGAGCTCTACGCTCAGAAGCTGAAGTACAAAGCCATCAGTGAGGAGCTGGACCATGCCCTCAACGACATGACCTCTTTGTGACCCGCCCGTGTGGGGACACGGCCTTCCACTCACTGTGTTTTCTCAAGCTTTTCTTGCCTGTAATCCCTGTCACTCCTGTGCCACTTCCACCTCTGTGGGAACTGAGCTCAATAAAACATGATACCTCTACTTTTCATCTTGCAGGGTTTACTTCTGTGTAGACCACCTCAAATACAGTGGTGGTAACACCAAAAACACATTCAGCTGTATTGGTAATGTAGGCGAACCCAATGGGAAGAAATTATGATGTCTGACTCAATTCAGAAGGCTGAATTATTTCTTTATTATAACTATGTTAAAATACATTAATATGCTGTATAAAAGGAGGATACTAAAACTACATACTACTTTCTCTGACTCTATCTAACTCTTTAACACAACTCATGACCCTCTCTCAAGAGTCTAAACACAGGTGGGTTGGATTGGCCATCAGGCTCAAACAATCCTCACTAGAATCCAACCAAGCACGCACTCCAGGTAAACAATTCTCAACACACATTTTACATAAGAAAAACAAGGAACAGAAATAGAAATTGTTTTCTCTTTCATTTCTCTCTGTGCACCTCTATGAAAAATCCTGAGAGGGAGAGAAATGTGCTTGTCACACAGCTGCTTGTGTGGGGTTGGGCAAGACACAGTCAGGATGGGGCAAATACTTGAATTTTAGTGTTCCTTTAGTCAGTGAAAAGCTTTGAGTGCACTCAGTGTCTGCTCGTGTTCCACCAGCCTGGTTAAAAACCTCTCACTCCAAGGAAAAGGCAGCAGGATGTGGCCTATAAATGACTCAGTGACACATTAAAACACAGGTCTGACACGTTCCATGAGATGTGTCCAAAAAACTCCCTTAAGGACAGCAATTACAAAAAATTGGCACTGTTTTGATGATATAAAAGTGTCTTAAATATGAAGGTAAGTTACCGCAGGTTTTATTTAAAGAGAAAAGGCTATAAAATAACATTATTTAAATCCTGTGCTTTTCTCCTTTCTCACCAGAAAAACTTGCTCAAGCCAAAGAGGAGAACCTGGGCTTGCACCAGACACTGGACCAGACGCTAAACGAACTGAACTGTATATGAGTGGCTCAGAGCTGCCAGCAGGCGCCACCCTGCCCCTGCCTCGCTCCTCTCCCCCCTCTCTCTCTGTATCCCGGACGAGCCACTTAAGTTATGCCCGGCACAGCCGCGCCGCGGGCTCCGGGCATCCCTGGGGCCGGGGAGCCCCGTGCCCGTGCCGGGCCGTGGCTGCTCTCACGGTTCCTCTGTCCTTTCGTGTAAACCCCGGTGGGAGCCGCACCCGAGCGGCGCCACCGCCTCCGCTGCCGTTTCTTATTAAACAATTTCTCACAGTACCGCGGCCTCGAGGAGTCTTGTACCGCTGGGGTGACGTCACTGTGCGGGAGTGACGTCATTGTGTTACCGCCGGGAAATGACGGCACACCGGAGGGGGGGGCGATAGCCAATCGCAGCGCCGCTTACATCCGTCTCAGGCCCGCCAGCCAATGGCGTGCCGGCTCCGTGCGCTCTCCGCCGGGCTGGGCCAATGAGCGCGTGGCGGGCGGGGCCGGCGCCCACCAACATGGCGAAGACCTACGATTACCTGTTCAAGCTGCTGCTGATCGGCGACTCGGGCGTGGGCAAGACCTGCGCGCTCTTCCGCTTCTCCGAGGACGCCTTCAACGCCACCTTCATCTCCACCATCGGTGAGCGCCGCCCGGCCGCCATCCCCGCCCGGCCGCCATCCCCGCCGGGCCGCGCCGCGCACCGCGTCCCGCTCGGGGCTCGGGCCGCGGGAGCCGCGGGCGGGTCGGGGCTCGGGGCTCTCTGCCGGGCTCGGGGCTCGGGGCTCTCTGCCGGGCTCGGGGCTCGCTGCCGGGCTCGGGGCTCGCTGCCGGGCTCGGGGCTCTCTGCCGGGCTCGGGGCTCGGGGCTCTCTGCCGGGCTCGGGGCTCGGGGCTCTCTGCCGGGCTCGGGGCTCGGGGCTCTCTGCCGGGCTCGGGGCTCTCTGCCGGGCTCGGGGCTCGCTGCCGGGCTCGGGGCTCGCTGCCGGGCTCGGGGCTCGCTGCCGGGCTCGGGGCTCGCTGCCGGGCTCGGGGCTCGCTGCCGTGGCGGGACACTTCAGACCGGGCCCGGGTCAGCCCCCCCCGGAGCGGCCGGTGCCGGGCAGGGAGCACTGAGGGACGCCACACCGAGCAGCGGGATTGAGGGCGAAGTCTTGGATTTGGCCGTTCGGCGGGAGCTGTGAGTAAAGAAATTGGTTTTCCTTTCAGGAATCGACTTTAAAATTAGAACGATAGAGCTCGATGGCAAGAGAATCAAGCTGCAGATCTGGTAAGGCTCCTGTGCTGCAGTCAGCGTCTGATCGCTGGGGCTGTGTGCTGTGCGTGGGGAGGTTCGGTTCGGTTCCTATCCGGTTGTGCTGCTCTGTGGTTTATGGTGTTTTAGAAGCCAAAAGGCAGCTCTGAAGAGTGGTTCAAGTTAACTGAAGGCTTTTGAGGTGTTAACTGGAGCTGAGCGGGAGGTGGTTTGCGTGAGCCCCGTGTTGTGTCTGTTGCAGGGACACGGCTGGGCAGGAGCGGTTCCGGACCATCACCACCGCCTACTACAGGGGAGCCATGGTAGGGACAGCTCGGGGACAGGGGGGACAAACCCAGCTGGCTCTGACACGAACACTCACAGCATGCTGCTCTGCCTGGCTGCACACTCACAGCTCTGCTCCAAGTGCTGCTGGATCTTGGATAATACCATGTGCTGGGATGTTGGATAATACCATTTTCTTGACTTAGAGATGGGGTAACTGAGAGGCGTTATAAAAACTTTCATTTCATTTTCAGTCTCATGAGAAGGGTGAGACAATACAGATGTTATAATTCACACCATCACAATCAGAAGCCAACTATTTCCTAATTACAATGCACTATAAGTGTTTCTTGGCTTACCAACTTTTTACCACACCGTGTTGTAGATACCTTAAAACCAATTATCTAAAACTACCTCTCATAGGTCCCACTACAATATATTTTCCATAATTCTATTTCTCCGAAGTACCTAGTCTTATTTCCAAAACCATATTTTGAAACTTTTTTTCTAGCTCCATTTCTCTCTCAACAATATTCTATTCTATTCTATAGTACTTCTAAGTCAGCATTTCTTATCTCAGAGTTTGCATACTGTGTGAGCTTTCTGTCAGGCCCTGAGAACTCTCTACAAATCCATTTCCCACACTGGGATGATCTGGGACTTTGGAAAGGCAGCTTCCTCCGTGTTTCACTCTATAAATACATGTCCTGCACACCTTATCTCACTGCCATTAGCTGGGAACCAGTTATTAAAAATAGCCACTGTTGAGTTGCTCCTCTCTGCTGTGGATAAACCTTTAACTCCTGCTGAAACAGTCTTTCTTTACCTTTAGGGTATTATGCTAGTGTATGACATCACCAATGAAAAGTCTTTTGAAAATATTCGGAACTGGGTGAGGAATATTGAAGAGGTAATTTCTCTCTTTACTTATTACTGACTGGTAAAGGTGTCATTTCTTCCTCTGAAAATAATTAAGATAAATTGCTTCAAAAGCATTACATTTTGTCATGTGCTGCAGGGAACTTGGAAGATAAGTGGTATGGAAATCAGTAAAAACTTTTGGAATGCCTTGGCTGATAGTGATTTGTTGTGAGGGCTGTAGCCCCTGTACTTCTGAGGGCACCTAATGTGACAATTTCCTGCCACAACAATTGATCCAAAAATTGCCATGGTGCAGGTTACATGCTGGGAAGAAGGGTTGGGGGAGCCTGGAAATGTGGGGAAGATTCTCAGGACTGGCATCTCTGTGTTGGGTACTCAGTGAGTGCCTCATCTGTCTGACAATGTTTATCTACAAAAGCCAAGCCCGAGTTTCTGGTCTGTGTTTGTCTCAGCACGCCTCTCCAGACGTTGAAAAAATGATCCTGGGGAACAAATGTGATGCAAATGACAAAAGACAAGTCTCCAGAGAGCAAGGGGAGAAGGTAAGTGCCGTGCTTTTGATGTATTTTGACTTAGGCTTTTCAGAGTCCAAAACCTGGCCTGCTGATTGTCTGCATGTGCCATGGTACCCCTGTGGTGTTCCTGAGTGCAGTGACTGAACATTCCCCAAGCTGCCATGGCAATGCTTTTCCCCGCTGGCATCAACAGCAGAACCTGCGTTAAGGATTCTTGTCAATTATCTAACAGATGCAAGGCAAGCAGCAGGAGTTCTCTAAAAGGATGCTAGAGTTGGAGATGGAGAAAATGTCTGTTTTGGCTGAAAGCCACTGAGACAAGGTAGATGGGATTGTCTATTCTGATGTCAGATGTTACTTAGTCGACGCAGAGGTTTTTTCTGCACTGTGGTTGTTACAAGACTGAAAAGGTATCTATGCAAGAAACAAAAAAGAGCAACCTAAAAAGTGTGCAGAATGTAAAAGAGCAGAGCAAAGACAGTGAGAACAGATGCCAGTTGCAGTGGGATTTAGTTCCTAATTTTTGTTCTGCATGAGTAAATCCCCAACTCCACTGCTGGTGGCAGCAGGGACAGATGCTGTGCCCAGGGCTGTGTTTGGAGCTGTTCCTGCAATTGTTCAATAATGTGCAATGTGCTTTTGTTCAGCTTGCTGCAAGTTTCGGGATTAAATTCATGGAGACCAGTGCAAAAGCAAATATAAACATAGAGAATGTAAGTACAGCCGCCTTTCTCTTGTATTTCTTGTCCTCTCTGTGCAAACCAGCAGTGTGGGATGCAGGACTCCATGGGTGGGTTGTTGAGCACTTCCCTGCAGCAGAGACCCTGGCTGGGGGTGGCAGTGTGGCTTTGGGGCTCAGAAAAAAGGTTGTGGAGATAGAGAAGGAGCATTAAAACCTGGAGCAGAGAGGAAAACACTGAGAGCCTGACATTCTTGTATAGTATGTCAAAACTTGGGAAGGCAGCTTATTGCTATACAAAAGTGTTAGAAAACATTTTGTACCCTGTAACACTGAACTGTTCAACTTGTCACAGGCATTTTTCACTCTTGCAAGAGATATCAAAGCAAAAATGGACAAGAAGTTGGTGAGTAACTTTGATTTCTGCATGCTGGATTTAAATTGGAAAAAAAAAAAAGCAAACCAAAAGCCACATTGCAAGGACTGTTTCACAGTGTATGAAAAAATGTGTCATAATCTCTTTCATTAAGGATCCCTGAAAGTTCTAGAAATGTATTTTTAGTTTGTCAAGCTGTGCTCTGACATTGGCTGTCTCTTCATTTCAGGAATTAGCTGTAATGGTTGATATTTTCTAAATAAAATTATCTGTTATTTGTTTTATCAAAAGTCAGGTGAGGAGTGGAGCAGTTTAATGATACTTCTCACTCTTGCAGTCTGAAAATCATATAAATTAGAGGAGGCAGACATCATACTTCAGGGTAGAAACTTCAAACCCTTTAAGAATAGGTAAAGAATGAATGGGTTTGGATAATCTTTGCACGAATATCCTGAGCAACAATTGGGTTGTGTTTTTACAGCAAATAAATGCACAGTGATGTTGGATTGTTCCTTAAGGAATATGAAATGAAGCTAATGAAGGCTCTTTCTACTCTTACTAATATTTCCACCTTCATGTGACCAGACAGTGGGATATTTCGGGTCTTGCTGATGATTCCTAGGCCTTTCAACAACATGCCCTGTAGTTTATTGGCTTTTAGTCTCAGCTGTCTTTGAGTTGATGGAAGCTGAGGCATAGGCACAGTGTGAGCTGGCTGAAGCCAAAAGCTGCAGATGCAGTTCTCCACTTTTTGGCTGTGGCTGGTGTTAAGACTCAGATAAATGAGTGAAGCCTCTTACTGATTGTGGGAAAGGTTCTCGAGTATGTCAGATGTAGTTAAGAGTGACCAGATGAAGTATGGATGGGAGAATCTGTTAAGGATAAATAAGTAACTGGATATTCTTTCCATCTTCAGGAAGGCAATAGCCCTCAAGGCAGCAACCAGGGAGTCAAAATCACACAAGACCAGCAAAAGAAAAGCAGCTTTTTCCGATGTGTTCTTCTGTGAGGGACACGGCCTTAATCTGAGCTGGACTGTGCCTGTGCTAAGTGAGGTTTCCTCTTTCTGTGGACTTAGTGCTCCCAACATACCTTGTCACTCTGTGACCATCTGAATAAGAAATGGCTTATTTTGGTAATTGTCTGACTCTTCAATTTTGGAGATGAAACAAGTTTATTTTTGTCAGATTGCCACTGGGCATGTGTATTGTCTAGCAGAGGAAGAGCTGAGCACATGTGACCTGGGATGCAGCACTGTTGCTTCAGTCTTCATTCGTATCTGTCACGTATCCAATTTAGGAAGATGAAGTTGTGATCAAAATGAGAAACTTAAATGCCACTGTTAATGAAGTACAGGTGTGCATACATGGTACTTGTGCATATCCATTGTGTAGCTGCACATGGAGCAATGGCATGAGACCATCCCAGAAATGCACCAAGGTGAACAGTGCAGGCTGATGCCTTCCCAGGAGGTACGAGGGAGCTTTCTGCAGCTCCACCTCTTTACTACTACAGAGAAACTCCTTCATCTGCCTGTCTCTTACTCAGCTGTGTTACTCTAGACAATCCACAAGTACAATTGAAGTTTTAAAAAAATTCTCCTTAAAGGAATCTATTTTTTTAAAAAAAGAATGTGTGCTGTACATAGAATGGGTCCTTACCATTGGTCATTAATCCATGTTAGATTTGACTGTGCTTAATTAAGTACTGCAGTCATTCAGAGATGTTTAACAGGATCTGATGGTTACACTGAGTGCTGTACAGATGATCTGTCATCAGTTCTTGGAGAACCAGGATCAGGCAGGGACACTTACACAAAATCTCACCTTGCAATGGGTGGCTTTACCACTCTCCAGCTGGGAATGACTCCAGACCTATCATGACAGAGTAGGTAGTTTTAAATCATGACAAGGAAACGTATTGCACTGCTCCCAGTCGTGTGTTCCCAAGCACACTTGCTCACATATGCAAATGTATGTTGCACATCAGAACACTTAGTGAAAAGAGGCTCTCTTGGACTGAGACTGGCCTTGCTGCTGGGTGTGGATCACTCAGCCATCAGCCTGCTCACAGCCTGTGTCAGTGAGCAGCCTGGTACTCATTCCCACAAACCCAGCCCAGTTCATTCCCACGTGTGGAAGGCCAGAGCCAAATACAGCTCCTCACAGGGCAGGGGCTGCAAACCTGACTCTGATTAGACTGACAGGAGCCAGTAAGAGCATCACCCTCCAAGGCTGCTGCCCAGGGCTTGCAGTGCTGGTGTACCTGCCCCAGTGAACACACCAGCTGGGTCCTGCAGCTCATGGAACTGAAACATACTTTGTTTACATTGGCAACTTGACTTAAGGGTGAAATTAAAGTTGATTTTTGAAGTTGTGGAATTTACTCACCAGTTTTGTTCTCCTCAAGTTTGTGGTATTGAACTCTGGGCCTCAGAGTAGCGCTAATAAGTGTTGCTGTGGTTAAATATCTGTTGGATTCACAATGAAACTATAAATCTGCAGCATGCAATTGGGCCCAACAGGAATACTGCCTGTTCTAAAGTGGAGAAAGATTTCACTGTGTAAGTTGCTGGTTTATAGAAATGCATTTTAGGTGCATTTAGGATTAAAGCTTTCCTCTAACCATAACCTTATGATGGTTTGGTTCTTTGTTTACTTGTGGCTTTTTAGCATGAGGACTTGATGAACATGCCCTGTAGTGGATTTACACATAGATGTATTTGTAGGATAAAAACCATGTTAAGTTACTGAGGAGGCTGCTAGACAGTGTAGTTAACACAGACCTGTAGACTGGACAAGCAGCACCTCTGTCTTGAGCTAAGGATGTTTTTAAAGAGTTTGTGTGTGCTTCAAGAAACGTTTGAGGCACAATTGGGGTGGTGATAAGACAGGTTGAATTTCCTACATAACTCTGTAACAATTTTCTTCTGGCTTAGTAATAACTGTGTATTGTCTTGCATCTGTATTGTGCTTTATACAGTCAGATGCTGAGCCAGATTTATTTCTCAGAGTGACTGGAAAAATTGATGTTTATTTGACTTGATACCATGGGTCTGCCATGATGCTGGTTCTTGCCTGTGGACTGTATCAATAACTCATCCCAAGATGGGAAAGCAAACCATATTCATTTACAAGTGGGTAAAACGTGAAGGATGGTATTGTGATTTTTCACTCATTTTCTAAATCTGAAGTTACTCTTGAATTCAGAATTCTTTGTATGTGAATACCTTCTGTTTAAACTTACACTGGTTGTTGCATGTGTTTATGTACCTAATTATAACATTATGTCCTTTGAAATGGTTTGGTTTATGAAAAACAACATTATTGCTTGATCTCAGGAAGTCTCATGCAGTTACTGTGACTACAGTCATCACTGTTCTTGTGGGTAGGAAGGCTCTACACAGACATGAAATCTGTGTAAGCAACATGAAACCTAAAATGCAAGTGTAAGAGAAGAAAAGGTTAAAGACATTGCACTGCACGTGGGCTTAACTATGTGTCACTAAACACAGGCATCAAATCTAGGAGAAGTACAGTAGGTTTCCTTCACATCCTTCAATTACTGTGTTTATTAAGTATGAATGTAATGGAAAATGCAATTGTCAGAGAGGTACTCTGTAAATACATACATAATCTACATATGTCTAAGTTTTCTTCAACTAAGGAGGAAAAAATCAGAAATTGGGTACAAAACCTGTAAAGCTGAGGAATTTAAGTAGGTCTGCAAAACTAACTGTGCTTACTACCACATTCTCAGTATCTAAATACCACTAAAATGTCAGGTAATTGATTAACATTTGTTTTGTAGAGAAACAAACCCACTTTTGAGCATGTCCTCAAATTCCCTTGTTTTACTGAGTATCATGGAATTCTGTGGTTGACCTTATTTTTGAGGCTGGTTGCAGTACATTGCACAGTCATCACTCCTCGGGGTGGAGACCTGTCAGCCTGTCAATAAATGGTGGAGCTGCTGTTCTAACATTGATTTCACACCTGTGTTATCTTTGTCCTGTGCTGACAGGCACAGCTCATGTTTCCTGACATCAGAACCTTATCCCAGCATCAGACTTCCAGCCTCAGATTTTAAATCCTATGGATTATTGTATGTCTCTTTACTGCTGCTGAAAATTATTTGGTCTCTCCTTTCCTGTGAGATGCTGATCATCTCCCTGATGATTGCTAAGGGGTTATTGTGGTGGTGTGTTTGGCTGATGATCATGCTCAAAACTGCCATGATTTCTTGTTCTCTTGGACTTGCCAGGGGAATGCACAAAGAGCTGTGTGAGGATGGGCTCCTTTGTACTTGTAGAAGTTGTAGGGCCTGGGGAAGAATGATGACTAACTTGTGTCTTCATTTCTAGCCTAACTAAAGATCTGTTCAAAGGACTGTGAATGGTAACTGCAGTCTGAGTGTTCCAGGCTGCCTTATTCCCTGACCCATCCTTCCCTGATCCCTGAAGTTTCTGTGGTTAATAAAGGTAACTGGCTGGTTAACTGGTCTCTCCAGCCTTTTCTGCAGGAATGACCTGCTCTACATTGAGTGTGAATTGGGACTTAGGACTTTGTTTTGAAGGGAATTTAATGCATCCCAAAATTTGTAAAAATAACTGTAAATTGTATTTTTCAAATGATCACTTTTGGCTGCCACCCTTCCCACATTACAACTGCTTTCTTAAACACTTCTCATTGATTTTCATGTTTGTATTAAAACAAAACTCTTGTTTATTACAGTATGTCTGTTTTTACTCTCTTGTACAGGACCCTAAGCACTGCATAAATAAACTTCTTATGAAAAGAGAATTTTAATAACTTAAGTTTTCAGTCCTTTTCATCATTTGTGTGTAGGGACCCTGGTGGGTGTGGAAAATAGGGGATTTCTGAAAATGGAGAAGAGGGACAGGACCTGGGGTGGACTCTTGTTTCTAAACTATGCTGACTTTTTCATTGTACTTTTTCATCCTGTACTGTGGGAGAATACTTCAGGAATTGATTCATTGGACCATTTATTAAGACTATAAATAATCAGAGGAGTCACTTATGGTTTTGAAACTAAAGGGATTTTTTTTACTGGTTAAGGCATTTTTGAGTGAATTTTTAGAGGTTATAGTTTGATACACGTTTCTTTACTTGCTGGTGGTATTTGAACTTTTAAAAAATACTTAGCCCTTCTGACTGTCCAGGCCAGGTTTGTTCTAGCTGAGGGTGGGGAGTAGACATTTTGCTAAATTACAGGGAAATCCTGATGAAGAGCTTAATGAATTGTTCCTTTTAAAGAGAGAAATGAAAGACAGTTCTCAGTGGTTCAGTTACCAGCAGTTGTCCTCTTTGCCCCTCTCAGCTTGTGCTCTCGTGGCTGGTAATCTCAGGTGTAGTAACAGTTGCTGAAAGCACTCCCATCCCCATGGCTGACTAGATTCAGATTCGAATATGAAAAGTGCTGTTAAAAAAGGGAAGTCATGATCACTTATCTATCACTGTTTAAAGGATTTACTACTGTGATAAACTGGAAACTTTATTTTTCAAAGCATTTGCAAAGATGAAGTACATGAAATAAATGCAAGATTTGAGTGTTGGTTTGTGTAAGATGTGCATCAGAAACCGCATTAACACTATGTTAAGCACTGAGTGAGCAAATCTCATACATTTATCAATGCAGCCTAAATGCTAATACTAACTTTTTAAGTTACAAAGACCTTGTATCATGTAAAAAGTACTTTGGAAGTTCAAAAGCAAGTCAAGGAAGCCTCCAGGCTTTTTCAAGCATCTATTTTTGCAGTGTTTGCAGTGGGCAGCTCTACTAGAACCTGCCACAGAAGAGTGGTGATCTGCAAACGCTGAGGAGATGTAAACACACACTTCAGAGCCTTCTGACAAGGAATTTAAGATAATTTTGGGTTAGAAATTAAAAGCAAATATTACCTGAGGAAATCTGGAGCTCGTACGATCATATGCTGAAAGTCTGCCAAGGACAGCTTGCCATCATTGTCCACATCAGCCTCGTAAATCACCTTATCACACACAAGGCTGACTTCTTCTGGGGTTAGTTCATTCCGGGTTAATTTGTTAACAGTTTTCTCTAGATCCGATTTGCATATGTAATCATCATTGTTGAAGTCTGACAAAGGAGACAAAGTTAATTCAAAGCAACAAAAGTCAGCATTTTACATGGTTGTTTGCCAAGGCCCAATAGAATGGTTTGGTTCCCAGGCTGTGATGGATTTTTATCAGTAGAACTCTCAAATCAGAAATTAAGTTACCTCTATCTATTAGTAAAAGAAATCAGTTACAAAATAAAAATCTCATAATTTCTTCTTTTCATACAAAGGGTAACAACTGTAAGTAGTTTAATAGCTAAACATAATAGCCTAGGCATCATTAAATCATTCCAGCAAAATTGTGTTGGTTTGAAATATTGTTTGTCTTTAGCTGATGATAAAGAAAGTAACTGTAAATATACATCTAAAAAAATCTTTACATTTGTCCTTGGTGTAAAAAAGCCTGCAATGTACTTCCCTGCCTCCCCCTCCCAAATCCACCCTACAGACTCATGGGCAGCCAAATCCCCTGTGCTGTACTTTCCCAAGCAGCTCCTCAGACAGAATTATTTCTTAATGATTATCAGCTCTTGAAAACTGCAGGTTATTTCAAGTTGTAAATTTGGTAGTAAAGCTTAATACCAAATAAATTAGCGACAAAAGGATAAAGAAAACCAGAAGTTTTTAGAGAAGGGAGAAAAACATTCAAGTGGAATTAAAAGAAATGGTAACTAGAAATCTCTATGCTGACAAAGTGAGGAATTTGCAGCCATACATGAAGCTGCAGGACTTCCCCACTTACCTTTTATGCATGTCTCACTCACCATAAATTTTAAAAGCATAATAAGCTTTCAAGTCTCGTGGAGCCATTTCACTTAGCACAGAAAACATGTCCAGAAAATCATCCAAAGTCATATTGCCATCGCCGTGCTCTGAGAACACCTCTGCTATCCGCTGGCGGAATGGGTTGTCCTGGGAAACAGCACGGGAGCAAGAGAAGGTCATCCTTACTTGTGGCAAGCACATTTCTCTCCCTCTCAGGATTTTTCATAGAGGTGCACAGAGAGAAATGAAAGAGAAAACAATTTCTATTTCTGCTCCTTGTTTTTCCCATGTGGAATGTGTTTGGAGAATTGTTTACCTGGAGTGAGTGCTTGGCTGGATTCTGGTGAGGATTGTTTGTGCCTGATGGCCAATCCAACCCACCTCGGGCTGGATTCTCAGAGAGGGTCACGAGTTGTGGGAGAGTTAGAGAAAGTAGTATGTAGTTTTAGTATCCTCCTTTTATATAGTATATTAATGTATTTTAGCCATAGTTATAATAAAGAAATAATTCAGCCTTCTGAATTGAGTCAGACATCGTCATTTCTTCCCATTGGGTTCGCCTGCATCTACAAATACTTACTAGCATTGATTTCAGTGCAGGCAAGGCAAGTGGAGTGAGATTATTTTTGTTGAAACACCTTTTTGGCAATTTCTTCCCTTTCTGCCTTTAAATTCTTGTCTAATGCTGTATCAGAAGCAGACACAGCCACACCCTATTTAACCTTTGTGCTGTTTCAGCGTGTTTTCTGGGAATTCTAGAAGCTTCCAGAAAGACTTTTTACTTTGATAGCCCAAATTTATTTCTATGGCAGCCTCCCAGCAATTAGTCCTGGATGAATTATTCAAGAAGGGTAGATGAAGCTGAAATGTGTCACTCGAGTCGTGTGCTGGGTACCTTGAGCTCTGGCATGCTGCCGATGAGCTCGTAGGGGAGCGTCACGGCGGGTCTGTCCGAGTAGTCAAGGGGAACGAGCTGTGGGGCCAGATCTCGGTACCTGTGAAACAACCTGAGACAGAGAGAAAGGCTTGTTGGCTCTTTGGATTTCTGAGAACGAGGTGGTTTGCTTTTCCACCTCGTTTTGCACGTTTTGCATCCATTACCAGATGGAGATCGGTCACTAAAGTAACAGTATGTTTTTGTTGGAACAATCATTATTAGAACAAGCAACATAATGTAACTGGTGAAAAATACAGAGCTTCATTATAAAACTGTTACGTAAAAATGCTTACACAGGACATGCAGCCAAACCCCTATGAGAGGAGAATAAGTTCATGTTTTCAGAGAGGACGCTCAGTCCCACCAGATCCTGCCTTTATCAGATCCTTTGGCCAGAGATTAAATTAGGGAGTTCAGTGAGGCTCAGCAAAACATGTCTTGGAGCAGCAGTGTAATCATTTACAAGAAAACATGAAGAAAACTTGACACAATCATTAAAGTTTTCATAAACCAGCAAAGTATTCCAGAGAATAACAGCACACTTTGAAGCATCTGTTGGAAAACCACATCAGAAAACCGTGGATGCCGCTGCCACTAAGATGTAATTAATTGTATTTATTTATAATAAATAGAGGGACTAGTACATTAATACAAAATTTAGAATTCTGACTCAGTTCAGGATAGGATTTGTAAATGAAAAAAAGCCAACAAAAATGCTCAGATTACCCCAAAGTATCACTTTAAATTTTAGTAAATCCATTTTAAAATTATTTTTTAAATACCTTATCCCATATGTAACCTGCCTTTACAGCAATCTCTGCCCTTTATTCACAACATGCATACAGAAGACTCACCTGAGAATTTCTTTCCTTGTGAAAAATGTGCAGTCCTATGAAGTAAGAAAAGGTATAACACAAAATGACAGTTTTTAGCATGCATTGACCCAAACTTTTCCCATGCAGTGACTTAAATGAATTTATACTGTAGTGTACATGTAAACATTAAAATTTTCTTCTTGGCATACAATTAGGCGTATTTTATAACCCTTCCTTTTGATATAAAAAACAAACTATGTTACTAAAATCTTTGCTGCAATTCAGTATGCCTACTTATTAATTTTTAAAAGATGCTGTTTTTAAAAACCCAGCAACACCTTTGCCATTATTCAATGTCCTGCCCAAAGAGCCATTTAGTTTGCTTTATACCTGATATGCATCCAGTTGCTCTTGAGTGAAAATGGTTTGCTTGTTGCCCATTTTGAGCTGGGAATACTGACTCCTGTCAGTTCTTTCCTCAAAGGCACCTTTAGAGGTCCTCTAGATATTCAGTTATTAAAAGCTGCAACAATGAGGCTCAGGTACAGCAGAGGATCAGGTAACCAACTTGTACAGGCTGCAAAGTATCATAATAGGAGCATTTCATCAAATCTTTAGTCTGGCTGCTTGAGGCTCTTATCCAGCAGCATTCACCCGTCTCCTGTGCGCACCAGGAAGACTCGGGTTACAGGATTTAGCCAAATAAGTAATAGCTGCTCATTAGTGCCCTTCGGATGCAGGTAGACCCAGTGGACCCTGCTTTTTCATGCCTTCAGATGTGGTGAATTAACTGAAAAGTGCTAGCAGTGCTTTCCTCCTTTAAAATTTAACACTGAATGATGGAAATTTGGTAGCCCCTCCTCCTTTCCTTCTCATATTTTATAGGGTCAGAATTATAAAGGTTGGAAAAGCCCTTTTAGATAATTAATGCAGCACTGCCAGGGTCACCAATATTCCATGTCCCCAAGTGCCACATCTGCATGTTTTTTGAACACTTCCAGGGATGGTGACTTCACCACTGTCCTGGGCAGCCTGTGCCAGTATTTTCCTTTAATGCACATTGTTAAATTACACTAATGATGCTGGTAGCTTGTACTGGAGTTAGTACCCAAAAAGTCCACTCACTTCCTTCTGCATCATCTGCTGATATATGTTACTACTAATTAATGGTGATTAGCATGACATCCATCCATACTTATTCATACACGGCCTTTGCACTGAAAAGATGTGTGAGTGTATAGTTCATACCTGTGAACAGAAATGTGATGCTATGAAAGATGAAAAACAAGGGGGAAAAAGGAGGAACTGGAACAGGCTGCCCTCACGGAGGGGTCGGTTCCCCTCACGGAGGTGCAAGGCGCCTCGGTGCCCCTCACGGAGGGGCCGGTCCCCTCACGGAGGGGTCGGTTCCCCTCACGGAGGTGCAAGGCGCCTTGGTTCCCCTCACGGACGGGCCGGTTCCCCTCACGGAGGTGCAAGGCGCCTCGGTTCCCCTCACGGAGGGGCCGGTCCCCTCACGGAGGTGCACGGCGCCTCGGTTCCCCTCACGGACGGGCCCGTCCCCTCCGGGCGGGGCTCGAGCGCGGCTCCCGGCCCCGGCCGTGCCGTTGCGGTGGTGCCGGCAGGGGGCGCGGGCGCGGCCGTTCCGCCATGGCGGATTACGAGGCGGTGCAGCGCGGTCCGCTGCGGCTGAAGGGCAGCGGCGGGGCCCTGGGGGCCGGCAAGCGGTGAGGGGGGAACGGGGGGAAACCGGGGGAAAACGGGGAGCGGTGAGGAGGGGCCGGGAGAACGGTGGGCGAGGAGGGGACACACAGCGCCGGGGCTGAGCGCTGACCGGGCGCTTCCCGCAGGAAGAAGAAGAAGGCGAAAGACAAGGCCCAAATGCTGGAGCAGATCGTGAGCAGCAAGAAGCAGGAGGAGGAGAAGAAGCGCGGGCTGGACAAGCGGACCCCGGCGCAGGTGGCCTACGAGAAGATGCAGGAGAAGCGGGTAAGGGTTTAAAAGCCGCTGTCACCCCTGGGGTACGGCCGCTGAGGGGGCTGCGAGTGCCGGGAGTAACCGGCCCTTCTGTGTCTCCTACAGCAAATGGAGCGGATCCTGAAGAAAGCGTCGAAAACCCACAAGCAGCGAGTGGAGGTGAGCAAAACCATCCCGAGTCCCTCAGACCAGCGTGTTTTGTTGGGCTGAAGGAACTGTTCCGCCTTGTGAAACACGAGCCGGGACGCAGGGGGGGCTTGTGGTTCAACTTGGTGATGTCAGCACCCCGTTTTCTTTCTCTTTGCCTCCCCCAGGACTTCAACAGGCACTTGGATACTCTGACTGAGCATTACGACATTCCCAAAGTCAGCTGGACTAAATGACCGGGCTGCTTTTCACGGCTCTGGAGCTGGAGTTGTGTTTTGTTTGTATCAAGCAGGGTTGCCATGTAAATCTGTCTGTTCTCCATATTGTCTAATACATCTTCTGAGCTTTTATGACTTTATACTGTCTTATTTTATAGACTTGTTATTTATAACCAAACATCCAGCAATGTCTCCTCTGGGCTGAGGAGCTCTGGTTTACATCGATGCAGAGGGCTGGTTTTTTTTAGTGTTTATAGTGAGATTAAGGCCAAAGCTAATTGCTATGAGCTGGATGGAAAACATTCCTTTATTTCATTAGTTCTAATTGTACTCCTTTTTTCAAGTGGAGTCTGACAGTCTCACATTTAAGTTTCTCTTGTAAGTTATGTGAATTGTATAATTACTTTCTATCAAGTTCTGTCAGAGGCCATGTTGCAAAACGTGAAATATGTAAAATTGTTTTAGGAAAGGATATTATTTGGTATTTGATCTTTGTATACTTTCAAGCCTAACCAGCAAGAAGGGAGGTTTAATCCATAAAATAGAGAGCAGCCAACAAGCTCTGAGTGATGTCCAAGTTTTGATAGCTGATGTGCTGGATTTCTGGGATCCCACCGAGCATCCAGGCTTGTGCAGCTCTGAAATAAATAATCAGCGTGTCTCTGGAGTGTGTAATCACTGGCTTGCTGTGCATCGGGTACTGATTTTTTGTGGAAAACAGTATCATTTCTATCTTGAGTATCAACAGTATCATTTCTGTCTTCCAGAGGGGTCTGCAGCAAGTTGTAAATTTGATGTCGTTTATTAAAACGCTGGTTCCACCCCTTTTTTGGGATGGAATGAAATGGGGCGTGTGGAGTTTGATTGTTACCCCCTCTGAGGGCTGACAGGTATCACGATGTCGGAACTCCCAAACCGGGATGTTCTAACCCGAATTAGGCGCTCGGCGTGTGTCCGTGCCCCACCTCAGCCCGGGGGACCGGCCCGCCGGGACTATTTAACGGCGCTGCCGCGGTGTCCTTCCGCCGCGCCCTGCGTCACTTCCCGCGGAAGCGGAAGCGGCAGCGGCGGGCGGGACGGGCCCGGCCGGGGCGATGTCGGCCAGCGCCGTCTATGTGCTGGACCTGAAGGGGAAGGTGAGGCCCGGCGGGTTCCGCTGCCTTGGGGCGGCTGCGGGGTCGCGTTCCGCTCCCCGGGCTGCCGGCCCTCGCTTAGCCCAGCGGGGACGGGGGAGTTGTGGCCTGCAGCCCCTCGCCGGTAAACGGGGACAGGGGAGTTGTGGGCAGCCCCTCGCCGGTAGAGATGTTGGGTGAGGCGGCATCCCCGGGGTGATTAATCTCTGTGTAGGCGTTCAGGAACACACATCATCACGGGATATTATTATATGCAGGTGCTTTTATTGAGAGCTTTGGGAATCAGGGGTACAGACCCAAATCTGACGCCGACATGGCTTTCGAGCTGAACGTATTTTATATTATCGTTATATAACTTATATAAAAACTGGGGATGGGACTGGGGATTGGAAATTGGGAATGGAAAACTGGAACTGGGAACTGGGGATTGTAATGGGATCTCGGAATGGGAAACTGGGAATGGAAAATTAGGAATGGAAATCTGGGAGTGGGCATGAGAATGGGAATGGAAAACTGGGAATAGAAATCTGGGAATGGAAAACTGACAGTGGGGATGGGAACTTATTAAACTTATATTGTTCTATTGTATACATTGACATGAGTTTCTCGTCATCTTCTTTAGGCCCCTGACCGCAGTTTCTCATTATTATTCTTATGATTAAACAGTAATTATATTTAATTACTAAACAATCATCGCATCTAACAATTATATAATTTATCATGTACTAGCTACACAGGTGCAGTTCTAGCAAGGTACAAGTCTTCATGTACCTAGGGTATTTAATTTTTTCAGGGCCTACTAAGCTTAATTTTCCTTTTAACCCTAAATCCCCATGATTTTAAAACCCTTTTCCTATCATCTGCTGGTATCCTAGCTGCATTTTCGTATCCTAAAACCATTCCTAGAGCCTGAGCAGTGAGAGAGGTCTGGAAAATATTAACACATGACTTTGCAATTAAATGTTGGTGTTTGCAAGTGTTTCAGCATTGTGATTTGCACTTACAAATGCAGAGAGGCTCGGGGGAACCTGGATGATTTTAGAGGGGTTTTTCCAGCATTTGTGTGGCTTGCATGGTAACTCCTTATGAAAGAGAAGAAAGAAGGATTTGGTTGCTTTATGCAGAGATGCTTGGGGGAAGCTGGATGATTTTAGAGGGGTTTTTCCAGCATTTGTGTGGCTTGCATGATAACTCCTTATGAAAGAGAAGAAAGAAGGATTTGGTTGCTTTCCGTACAGGTTTTGATCTGTCGGAATTATCGCGGAGATGTGGACATGTCAGAGGTGGAACATTTTATGCCAATCCTTATGGAAAAGGAAGAAGAGGGGACGCTTTCTCCTATCCTAGCACATGGAGGAGTTCGTTTCATGTGGATTAAACATAACAACCTGTATCGTATCCTTTGTGCTGCAGATGTGCTGACATGCCAAGGGTTGCTGCTGTGGTTTTTTTTAATGTCAGAATGGAAGCTGGAGTATGGATGAAGTGGTATAAAGAGGCTATATTCAGTAAAGTTGGTTATATTAAATAAGGGTTTTTTTTGTGCTTTACATAGTGTCATATATACCAGCAGCATAAGGTCCAGAAAAGTGTTTTAATTTTACTCTAATTAATGATTTCCTGAATGTTTAGCTTCGTATCTCTTTAGATCATAGGTGCTGTTAAGTAGTTAATGCATAATTCTTCCAGGCAACTCTAAGTGCCTTAAATTAGGCTTTTTAAACTGCATTTAGTAAACGTTTTTTTAAATGCACATTCCTGAACATACTTTATCAGTTGTTGCAACTTCTAAGAAAAATGCTTGTGTATCACTGGTGTTTTCATTTTTATATAAAGTAGTTCAGGTGAGTATATTTCAGAAGTAACCTTTATGTTCTGCCTAAATAGAAGGACATAGAGCTTTCACATTTTTTAAGAACTTCAACAATACCATTTTTACTTTATATTTGATTATTTTGTAGAACTATCTTCTTAACCACTAATAAGGACACTGATATTTTGTAGCTCTGTAGGCAGAGGATGGGGGCACAGTGCTCTAAGTAGCTACACAAGACCTGAGCACCTGGAGGAGATTGTCAACTGGTGCATGTGTTGTGGTGCCTCACACAGATCCTGTGCTTGCTTCATCTGTTGAGAAAAATATTTTCTCCAGAATAGATCATTTTCATAATAGTTTCTTCTAGGATTCCCTGTTTTAATTGTGGTGGGTTTCCTGGGGCTGATCTGAGCAGAATGCTGTTTTGGAAGTATGGGGTTGGAATTTTACAAAATTATTATTTTAGATGCAGAAATACCTTCTGCTTGTGTTGTGCTGCCTCAGTTAATGTCCTTCTTCTCCCTCCCCCTCCTCTTGTTGCATTTCAGGTTTTTTCTGAATATTTCAAGGAGTTGGAAGAAGAGAGCATTAGGGATAATTTTGTTATTATTTATGAGTTGTTAGATGAGCTTATGGATTTTGGTTATCCACAAACCACTGATAGTAAAATTTTACAAGAGTAAGTATCACTCAACAGTGACAAAGCCCTTGGAATGTTTTGAGCCTTTTTCCATAGGCAAACAAATGTTTCAGTGTGTTCTAAATATCAAAAATATTAATTTTATCTTTTTTTCCATGCCATTTTTCTGGTTGTGAAGGTACATCACTCAGGAAGGCCACAAACTTGAAACTGGAGCCCCACGCCCACCTGCCACTGTTACAAATGCTGTTTCATGGAGATCAGAAGGGATAAAATACAGGAAAAATGAGGTGTTCCTGGATGTCATAGAGTCTGTTAACCTTTTGGTGGGTACCTTGGACTTCAACTTTTATGTAAGAATTGTAGTAGAAAGTGTTAAAAAGGGCTTTTTGTATGAGAACCTGCAATAAAAAGTCTGATTGTGGATGGTGTGCTGTGACACTCAAAGCAACGTAAT